TATCTTCGTAAACGACTCACCTAATAGCGTGAATAATTTTAATAATTTCAAATCTACTATATTTGCTGATGACCTCTCAGTAGCTGTATCTGGTACTTCTATAAGCAACCTTAGTCTGGCTTCTACTGTTTGTGTAAGATCTTCTGAAGAATATAGTTTCAAAAATCACCTTGTAATGAATGCCCTGAAAACTGATTTTCTGCAGTTTTCTGCTTCTACTCTTGACTACAGTCTACTAGTGAGACCTGATAACTCTTTTCTTCGGCAATCAAATGTTGTTAAATTTCTTGGGGTGAATATGGACTCACAGTTAAACTGGTATAGTCACATCGAATATGTGGCCAAAAAAATGTCATCTCATTGTTTTGTTTTATGGAGACTGAGGAGTTTTGTAGATAGAAATATTCTGATGATCTTTTATCACTCATATGTCAATTCTAAATTGTCATATGCAATAACCATTTGGGGAAACTCAAAAAAAAATTGAATCTCTCTTAATTTTACAGAAAAAAATATTGAGAACAATGACGTTCAAAGAACGAAGGTACTCTTGCAAAAACTTATTTAAGGATCTTGGCATTCTAACGGTCATTTCACTTTACATTTTCAAATGTGTAACTTTTGTTAAAAAGAATATTTCTAAATACAATGCATCTGGTGATATTGTCAGTTACAGTATGAGAGACAAGTCGCTGATGTATAATGTACTATTGTAGGATACTCATTATTTACCTCTTCTTCATTGATTGAAAATCGAAAGTATTCGTACATCCAAGTTGTTGGTGTCTAGTGTCATTGGAATTCATTGGATTCCGAAAAAAGTGCTCTCTTCGACAGAACAATGGTGTCTATAAAAGTCGTGAGATTTACAGATCGTATAGCCGAGTGAACGTTTTCATGTATCATTCATGATCTAATCACACTCTGCAAGTGCTAGTACCTTCGATACATAGATTTATTCTCTACACTTCTTCTATGATAGAGTCCCAACAAAATATGATAATCATCAACTACAAATCACTTGATGCTGTGACCAAATACGCCTCTAGGAATGCTAAATTTATCGCATTTAAATGTTTCATAGAAGAATTTATAAGCTAGAATATGACGAAAAAGGATTGAGATTGCTCAAATTGGAATAATGGAATGTGTACTGAAATGACTGAAAGAGGATGTTTTTATGAGACAACCAAATTCACATTGAATATTTGTTTTAATATCATCATGTTAAGTGTTATATACCTACCATTCAATATACTTACATAATAAATATTGAAAGTGGCATACATTGAGAGAATAATATTTCCTTATAAATTTTGACACGTTGCCTTCAAGTTTTTGAATGATCTCAATATTTTTTGGTTGACGAATTATCACGAATCAAGTGCTAAAAATCGTATAAATGTTTCTAACTCGATTGTTTTATAGCGACACTAGTTGCACTGAATAGTTCATCTATATTGAAAAAAAAACCGTAGAAAGGCTCTCACTCGCTGATTGATGGGTCTAGTATAGTACAAGAGAACGTGTAATTCAGAATGATGTAATACAAATGTTCGGTTATGATAGCACAAGTGCATAAAAAGTACCGATAATTTTGCGAGGAAGCGTGTTATCTAAAAATCATAAAAGTTCTTTTTCATACATTATTCCAGATTTCTTGGGATTTCTCCTCGTTCCAATAAAATAAATCAGATGATTTGCCCCGAAATGTCACTGCGTTTGAAGAATTTTCCTATCAGAGAACTTAAATAAAAAATTCACTAGCTTGTCAGTGACAATTTGCATTGAAAAAGGTTTGGTGAAGAGAAATAAAGGTATATAGAAAAAATATTAAATTTTCACTCATCTTTGGACGTTTCGGGAACGAATCTGCCCCGTTTTCAACATAAAAAATGGATATCTGTATAGCAAATTCGTATTCGTCTTGATACTTCTCAGTTATCAGTAAAGACTTTTTCTTTGTCAATGTAGATATACGAAATACAAATTTCGGCTTCAATTCTCCAATTAGTAGATTGAGCAGTCGTTTTAACAAATATTGTAGTATCGATATTCACTGTACATCTTCATTCACCACCAAACAAAAAGTTGAAAAAATATTTTTCACATAAGTAAAATTCCAAAATTGTTCAACATTTTAAATCAATTTATTTGTATTGTTAACTGGCGTCTCGAGGCACGGTCACGCACGGTTTCAAATGTGTTTTTATGGCGACCCGATGTTTTCGCAGTGCAATCTTTGATCTGCAATGCAATTACCGCTGTAATTTCTCGATAATTGCTTTGCTCTTAGGAGACAATTTATATATGAGGATAATATTCACTGAAACAGGACCATCAATATTGAAGAACAGTGTCAAAAAAGTGGAAAGTATGCACTTCATAGTTTCGATTTTTTCATATCTATTGAGAGAGTTCTGTAATTAAACAAAAATGTGTTTCAGTACGGAAGTGAGTATTTTAGCGCACCTATAACATTTGAGATAACAGAACAGTTATATAATTACATAACTACTTACAAAAATGTGGTCTGTATATCTATGTAGATTAATATAATCAATAAAAATGTTGTTTTTCATTTTAATAAATTCCAGAATAAATTTGGGCGGGTTATAGGAGATATCTAAATGGTTATATTGTCATTATTGGTTAAATAAAGTTGTTCCTAAGTAAGTGGGTCATTTTTATCGGAAATTGAATGACAAATATGTCTGATCCAATTAATAGTTGGACTATCATTTCATATACAGTGTGTCCATTTAGTGCGTAATCCTTCGATATCTCGAAATCCATTATCACAAGAGAAAAACTGTGTTTTATAAAACGGTGTTTTATAAAAGCGGGACGACTCGGAGACAAGTTTTTTCAAATAGAACACCCAGTATTTTTCATTCGAAATTAATTCCGCTAAGGTTAAGCTCTACATCGCTGTGAAAAAAATTGAATTTGATTGCGGCATTGCCAAGTTATAATTGATAAATGGTATATTCATTTATTGAAATTTTGAAAATAATTTTGGCATACAGTAGTAGCAAGGTCTCACGTTTACATTCTGAATATTGTAAGATTCATACGACGTTCATTAGAGTTTTTCAAATGGAACACCCTGTATTTTTCATCACAGATTCATTTCGACATCATCGAATCCTGTATATGGTTTCTGTAAACTGTGACAGGGAGTTTTCAAAGCACACAAACAAGCATCTGAAATGAAATATTCAAAATTCTCCTCACACTCCCACGAAATTTTTCAAAAAATTAAAAATTATAAGCAAAAGCGAAAGTCTGACAACAAATTACTTCATTCGAAAATAATCATTACGCAACGCATAGATTTCACAAATAAAAGTAAGACTCATATTTTCAATGCTTCAGCCCAATGGAAATCAACATGTTCTCTCATTCCCAGGCCTGGATTTCGTCATTTCATTTTTTGTGGAGGGTAATAATCACCCTGTAGATCTTTTTCAAATCTCTTTAGATGTTAATGGTCATCGATTTGAATAATTCAAGATATTTAAACACAAGATGAAGGTTTATTCACAATTATTTTTCAAAAGCAATACTGGCACAGGCGGATAATAATTCTAGTATGGAAAAAATGATGGAAGTAAGATATGGAGCGTGCATTCGGCCATTATTGAAAATTTCAGAAAAATCACTCGACCGCCTACTATGATTTCTCTACGTCACAACGAGCGAGACGTTGATTCTACATTTTCCCGCTAGATGCTGATGCTGCTATTGCTGCTGTGACGAGTGAAAATAAAAGAGCAAATGGTATTTTAGGTACGCGGAACATATGTCACAGTGGGAATATTCAACTCTGAATTCGAAAAATCTGCGACAATTTCAAAACTGACAGATATCGTAATTGTGCAATGTCGCCATCTATTAGAAGATCGACGGAACCATTGCTGCTCTCACTGTTCTCGAGACGAGTAAAATTTCTGAAACAAAAGCGCATCAGTGATTACACCATATCTTACTTCCATTATTATGGAAAATAAGTGACCAAATTAACTGATTGAAACAAATCCAATAGATAAAACTGTGAATTGAAATCATTGATTTATTCATAGTGATGGCCATTAACATTTCCACTGATTCGAAAAAGATCTACAGGGTGATTATTATTGAATTACTGAATCCAGGCCTGAAAATTCAATAATATGTTGATTTCCATCGAGCTGAAGCATTGAAAATGTAAGTCTCACTTATTCGTGGAAATTATGAGTTGCGAAGTTTTAATTTCCAGATAAATACATTCTTTGCCAAATTTTCGTTTTTTCATAAAGTTTATTGTTTTTTTCGAACTGTATAGTGAATGTGTGAGGAAAATTTGGAATATTCTATTTCTGCTGTTTGTTCGTAACCCATGAAAATTCCCTGTCACAGTTTACTAAAACGATATACAGGATGAACTTTTTGCTTAAAACTAAACTATTAAAATTTTTCAAGAACGGTCCTGGATTTTCTTGATTCTGAATGAGTCATTCGATTAGAGAGAAGTCGCGGAATATTCCATGGAAAAATCAGACGAATCGAAGGAGCTGTTGGGAAGTTATGACTAACAAATTTTTTTGTCATCAAAAACATGAGTAGTTTTTCTTTCATTTCTTAACATCTACCCTCATCGCGTTCAAATTCTAGTCATGTCTTGGTATGAGTTCCATATGGTAACAACGAACATAAGCAAAAATGTCGTTGTATCATTTACAAAAAAGGATAATGAAAGCATATCGAATACCTACGATCTAGAATGTAAGTCACATCTCGCGTCTTGAGATTGGCGCTAAGAAGAGAGAGAGAGGGGCGATATGATGCACAGGTAGGGTGAGATGATTTTTCAAGAGTGATGGCAGCAAGGTTTTGGGATGAAAGTGAAATAATTTCGTGGATTTACACCCACTATTCGCACTTTTCGAGTATATAAGCTTCTGGTCGATCTGCCACCATCAAATCAACCCGATTCGCAATCAAGTGAAGTAGTTCAGTTTTCTTTTGTTTTCTGTGCAGTACGATCGTTATCGCATCATGAAGGTGAGAGACAATATCATCAATTAATAATTAATCAGTATTGTGAAAAGATATCAAATACAGGATAAAAGAGCTAATTTATATTCAGGGTGTCCCTAAATGGTTGGTACAAAATGATATATACCATATACCCCCGAGACCAATGGGAGATGATTGAACCCAACTCACCTCTATACCAGAATTTGAATTTTCTATTTTTTCGAATAGTTCGTCTACAAATATCGTTCTGAAATTTTGTAAGCATACTAGAAGGACAAATATGCGTAAAAAACATTCCATACTATTTTGTTTAACATAGGATGTTACATATTATGTAAAGTACAGCTGTTGATCGAAAAAATGACTCAACAAAAAATATAATAATTTGAATCAAAAAATCACCATGAATTCAAAAGATTAAAGTGTATCTCTGGTAGGGCCAATTTAACTAAAATATAGACAATATGTTGATAAATATACAGCGTGATTTCTTGATATATTTTAGGAAATGGAGTTCATATAAACATGTGTCCTAACTTGCTTCGTTTTCGAGATACAGGGTATCAATTGGTATTAATTATTATTTCCATGAAAAATCTTTTTTCTATTCATTTCTCAACTGTTTCTTCATCAATTCCAAGAAAACGTTGTGGTTTTGTTAATATTAATATGGAGCTTCTTCTAGTGCAATAAGATTCGAAATAATATTTCCAGTGGCGTCACAGTGGGTGAATTTTCATATTTTTATTATATTGAACTATTGAAATAACAACTTCTTCATCCTCTGTGTGATTTTTGCATCTAGCTCAGTTTTTGAGGAAACATGAAAGCTAATACAGAGGGGTTGTAAATAAAACGATTAATACTTCCAACTTCAACATCCTGTATCTCAAAAACGGAGCAATAAGTTAGGACACATGTTTATATAAACTGTATTTGCGAGAATGTCACAATAAGGAAACACCCCTTCAATATTTTCAGTATTATTCAGATACATCCTGTATACAGGACGTATCACCAGCGACTTCTACGGTGTGGATTTTCAAAATCCGAGATTAAATTGTCGAAGAATATGCATATAAAAAAGTTTGAGCAATATTTAATGTATTCCCACCCTGTATTATACACTCCTGAATGGAATTTTGGAATGATATAATTTTCAAAACATTGGGCATCGAAAGTTTAGTTCTTGTATCGGAATGCATCATGTTATCACACGGCGTTTCGAAAATATTCAAGAAATATCATCTTCAGGAATCCCCTCTCAGGGGGTCGTAGCTCCCTTTTAGGAGACATGTCCATTGAAACTTTTTTTTATATTTTTGATCGTAGAAGCCGCAGGTGAAGATTGGCAGGCTGATTTCGGGACACCCTGTATATATGACCCCAAAATAATCATATGAATTATCACTAGAGGATATAATCCGTATTGATACTGTAAAAACTTCAAAATATTCGGGTTGATATATTGAAGTTCGAATTTTATTCGAGGCTTTTTATTTTTTGAGTACTTAGTTCGAACGTCAAAATTTAACGACGCGCTTGGATTCTATATATATATGGTGATATCATTCTGAATTTCTGATTGGTGGAGTTATATCCTATGTATATTCGAAACTATACAACGTAACTTAACTCAATTGAACGTTCTGATTGTTTTGAAATAATACGAAGAAAATAATCCCTATAATATTCTCAATCTCCCACAACTCCTATAGTTTCAAACTATATAAATTCCTTATATTGTATCTACCATCGCTTCAACATAATGAAATTAGTATCAATTTGTTTTTTGATTATATCAGATGATCCTTACAATTTCATAACCATTACCATATATCATGCATAATATGTCCTTAATTCCAGTAGATATGTGCATGTACAGAGGTAGGTACACAAGATTTTTCCGCAATATCATCAATAATGTGAGAAAGATTGAACACAGTTATGTAACTGGTAACTGGTGACAATCATTTTTATTTTATTCAATGGGATACTTAAATATGGAAATATCAAATATTATTTACTTATTACCTACATTTACCTACTTCACACGAGGTTTACGATTTTAATATTGGTGGCTGGAATTTATATATAGGCACAAAATCCACGCCTTATTCAAAATTATAGGTACAGGTACAGTCGTATGCAATAAAAAAGCGTACAAGTATTGAAAAGAGAGGATTTCGGGATCCTATAGTTCTAGTTGTGTAAAACTGGCTCAGCCAATGCTTTGTGTTTTCGAGAACCTATGACAACTTTACTGTAACATTTGGGGAACAATCATTCCCGATACTCCGTTGCAGAATAGGATGACGTTTTTTTTTTAATGCTACTGTAAATACTCATTATGATCATGAAATAACGTTATGAGAATAATCATTGAAGGCAAAGTAGGCATACAACAATAAATTTCCTGAAAGATTCACTTTAAAATTTTATAAACATATTATACGTTTAGGGTGTGTCATTTGGAATAATAATAGAGTTGACAAGAATTTCGGAAATACTAATAACGTGGCAATATCGGTGATAACATTTTAGAATCCACCATGTTTGGAAATCACCCTGTACAAGAATTCTAAAAATCTATCGAATGGTTACCGAGATATTCATTTGGTCCCGCACTTTTGCCCATCACTGTATACAGAACACAAACATCGTCTTTTCAAAATCTTTATAGAAATGCCTACCTAGATAAACCTAATTGTTCTTTTTTTGTTTATCTTCTGCCTTTCCTCTCATAATTCATCTGGTATATGGTAAATTTATTTTTTTATTTATTTATTTATTTATCAAACATCTTCCAGTCAGAACAAGTTCTGTTATGAGGAAGTATAACAATCAATGAACAAAGAAAAGAATTCTAGTCAAGGACATAACATTTCTGATAAATTTCAAACATTTCTCTCAGAAATGATTAGTTTTTTTTTTTACTTTCTTTTTAAACGTACCTATAATTCTGCAGTTTTTAATTTCATCTGGTAGTTTATTGAACTCAGATATAAGGCTGCATGAGTGAATCTTTTTTGTCCGAGTATAGAACTATCAGCATCAAGGTGAAATAAGTTATACTGTCTAGTTTGATGACTATGAATGTAGTCCTTAAAATGTCACTTTATAAAATGAATTCAGCAAAAAACATCGCCGGCAGCACGCGGTCCGTTTGAACTTTTCAAAGGGAACTATAGCTTCTTCAAGTGGCTTTGCAAAAACTACAACAGTGCGGCTCAGAAATTCTAAAAATTCCATGCAAAAAACTCACCCATAATCGTTTCTTGCAGGTCATCATCCTCACCCTGGCCAGTCTCGCCCTAGTCCTGGCCGAACCCCCCGTCCCCAACAGCCAGTACCTCCCCTCCAACACATACATCCCTCCCAACGGCCAGTACGGGGCTCCGGCTCAGACCGAGGCCGTGCTGAGACCCAGCAACTCCTACGGCCCTCCGAGCAACTCCTACGGGCCCCCTAGCAACTCCTACGGCCCCCCTAGCAATGCTTACGGCCCCCCCAATGGAGGATATGCCGGAGGCAGGACTGAGGAAGCAACGGTAAGAGACACAGCACGGAATATTCAGGAAGTATCGCCACAATGTTACAATAATGTTGCAGCTACAATCTTTCATAAATCTTGCAGAAATTGACCCGGCCGTTACTTGATGGAAATAATCCATAGCAAATGTAAAAACTTCACAAATGATAAGATTTAATATCGTATTTGTTGACTGCAATTCCAATATGTTCAGAAATGTTGCTGCAATATGTCTCTCTAGTATCGATCTCTTCCAGTCAATTATCACTAGTTTTACTGTTATTCATTGATTCTTCTGTTTCTGCAATATTGAATGGTCAAAACACAAAGGCGTAGAGATTGGATATCATTCTAAACGACAGTAAGACTGTTTTGATTCACATAATTCAGTATTTTATTGGCACTATATGACCTCAACCATACTAAATGATATCAGTCGAAAATTCCCAATTTTCATTATTCACAATCGGGGAAGAATTCATTGATGATCACAATGGGGCATATGAGAATGGTTTGGAATTGAATGTAAGTTATAATACTTGGTATCCTATTCTTATATCCCAGTAGGATTTGAAACATGCACTTCTTCCTTTACAAGGCGATCAGCCATTCATTTTCTCTTCATTCTTGTAGATACCTGAATATATAGATACTTTTTCCTCAGAGCTTGTTCTTGAACCACAATGGGTCTGTTTAAGTGAGCGATTTTATTTTATTATTCCGAAGTACTAAACCCTAAGTAAATTCACTGTCGCAAACCTTTTTTTTCTGAGCTCTATAACTGTCTTAAATAATTATTGAGATTGACGATATTTCATAACATGGAAAACGCTGGAAAACGCGTGACGTAATCATCCGTGAACGATTCGATGCAACCATAAGATTCGACTTAGGCGAATCCATTCTATCCCAGACAGCACCAGATATTCCATGAATCTCCCTATCATATTCCTTTTGGAATATTGGAATATTCTAGAAATAATCTGGAATATTCCGGAATATCTGTGGAATATTCTCTAAATATGCGAATGGGAATTCCTCAGATAATCATAGAATATACCCAAAAGAATATTCTATGTTGAATGTTCCTGGAATATTCCAATGAACATATTCTAAAATTAAAAAAAGGGACCCAAGTAGGGATCGAACTCGTGACCTCAAGACTATCAGAGCAACGCCTTGACCACTAGGCCAGTAACCGAATTGAATAATGTTATACATAACAAGTTCTTGTGAGAGCATTGTTCGAAATCGGATCATAAACACTTTTTTGTTCCAAAATCCCCGTTACATCTAATTGATGTTCGATACTCACATCTCTGAAATTATAAATGTTATTCATGTGTTGAGGAACATAGGAATATTCATGGAATATTTCATGAATATACACCACAGAATATTCAGTTGAGAATATTTCTTGAATATACCGCACCAGAATATTCAGTTGGGTATATTTCATGAATATACCGCACAGAATATTCAGTTGGGTATATTTCATGAATATACAACAGAGAATATTCAGTTGGGAATATTCCTGGAAGATTCATACCTGAATATTCCCTGAACATGTCCGACTATTCACTTTGGAATATTCCTTTTAGATGTTAGAGGCATGTATATATTCTAGGAATAATCGATGAATATTCGGAATATACTCCTCCTTTTTAGCATATTTAGAGAATATTCTATGAATATCCAGTGCTGTCTGGGATATTTCTGATAGACAAGTGTGCGAGAATATTTCTAATTATTATTTCAATCAGAATATGGAATGAATTTTCTGGATTTAATACTTACTGCATATAACAGAGAAACAACACACAACTACAGAATCAGATAATATGAGGATTACCTGTGAATATTCTTGACTAAATGAAGCAATAGACGATAAAGGCGGCAGACGATATTGACTTTAGGCATATTATACACTGCATGTTGCCCATGCCAAAAAATAATTTGGCATTGAATAAAATCTAGATCATTAATTCTTAGGAATAATAGGATATTTCTATTGGTACTGAAGCATCTTGCAATATACTATTGTCATTGTCCGCCGAATTTAGTTATTGGAAAAAACAATATTTGCAATGATTTCAAATAACAAATGCATGATTGCGTCAAATAACACTATTTACACACGGAATGATCAATATAAAATAGGTATCTGGCGTAAATTCGACTAGTGTGTACAAGCCTATTTTCTTTCAAGAATTCATATCGGATAAATTCATAATGAAAGGATGACTAATATCTTCCGCTCACGGTGTAAACATGAATTATTCGAGCTACTTCCATATAGCTCCTGATTTCACGGTGTGCGAGATTTATATGTATAGCAAGATGAATAATTGCCTTTACGAGGAATATATTAGCACTTTCCGCTTCACTGTTGAGTGGTTGAAACCTGCAATATTACGATTAGCCAAAACTATTAGTATGAAATAAGAGCTGACGAATAATGTTGGTTTACACAGGGCACAATAATAATGTTACACAAATGCCTCAACTTCAATCAAATAATTTTCAAACAATGCTTTTTGAGTTATTTTTGAGTTACCCAACTCACCTTCACTATTACTGAAAAAAAAATCATTGATGTATTTGAACACTGGGTACAAATAAGTATAACCTAAATGCCTAAACTTCGGAAATCTCTGCTATCATCCCTTCACTAGCAATACCAGTCAGACGAACTAGACGAGCCCAGTCAGCACATACTTTCGTTGTCAACCTCGAAAGATGTCGAACAGCACTTTATCAAAACTAATTCATCCATAAAACGGCTAGGCTCTGGAATTCATTGCCTGAGAAAGTATTCCCAACAACATAATATAATCGCCAGAAGTTCAAAAAAATTCCAATACCCACCTCCTGTTCCTAGGAACGCACGCTGTTCTTTGAACATTATAGGGATTTCCTTTCAGGGTTCCCAGCGATACAAAAAATAAAAAAACTTCAATCAAATAATTTAAAAAAAATGATTTATAAGTTACTCGCACCTAACTTCATACAGTTACTGAAAAAAAATCATTATACTTGAAAGTACTTGTTTACAAACCAAATCTTATTGTTCACTCTGCCACAGCCGTTTATTGTTCTTCCTGATGGCTTTGTATTTTTTTCAAATAGATTCATTATTAATATCCACAATATTTCAAATTTTCAAGAAATGCGGGAAATTCTTGACGTAAAAATATATTCATCTTTGAATATTCCTTCTGGAATATTCTGTGTATTTAATTTGGAATATTACTAGAAGATTCAAAGTTGAATATTCCAGAGGCACATATATATATTCTAGGAATATTCGGTGGATATTCGGAATATATTCTTCTCTTTTAGCATATTGCGAGAATATTCTAGGAATATCCGGTGCTGTCTGGGAGCTGACAATCGCTTCACGAAATTTCATTTTTTTTCTTTGCTAAACTATATACCGACTATATTTCATTATATAGGAACCAGCAAGCTACCAGTTCGAATACCACGTGCAAGACGCCGAATCTGGCAACGATTTCGGACACCAGGAGCAAAGAGAAGGAGACGTAGCCCAAGGAAAATACTTCGTCCTTTTGCCAGACGGTCGCATCCAAACTGTGGAGTACACAGCTGATCAAGACGGGTACAAACCGAAAATCACCTACGAGCAAACTCAGAACGGTGGAAACGGAGGTTATCCATCAGGAAGGCCGTCCAACGGAAACGGTGGATACCAATATTAAAGTCACGATAAGTTATAATTCAGGAGTGTTTGAGAATAGTGCTTGGTAATTTTCAATTTCTAAAATTATCCTGATATCACCTACTTTGATTCAGTGTTCAATTTCGTAGAAGTTATCCCAACTTCACACATTTCCTTGATAGTCTCTGCCTTTTCTAATGTATTCATATCTTCCTCTTCTTTACTTTTTGACTGCAAATGATCTCAAAATGATAAGATTCATTGTTAGTCTAGTGAACGGTACTATATCTTTAGCAAATAAGAGTAGATTATGAATTCTAGCATATGGAAAGTTACCAAGCTTATTTGATAATGCTCTCTTTTAGGCCAGAATAGCTTTAATGATTGTATAGTCACCCTCATATACGACTTACTAGTGAAGACAGCTGAATATTTTATCATGCCAAATGGTTTATCACTATTTATATTTCAGCGATTAGGGATTTTTCTCCTGCTGATATGGTGTACATGTATATTTATTGAGTACTTGCCATAAAATATTTATAAATGTATAGGTAGTTTGTAGGTGATGAAGTATTGTATATTTTTATATGAAATCAAAGGAAAAATAAATATATTTTGCAATTAATTGAGGAAATGGTTTAATTTTCCATTATTGTTGACTATCACCGTTGATTGATATATTACGCTTACGCTGGGAAGATGCCCAACCTGTGTTATTTGCGAGTCGATGCCCCGCTCATCCCCTCGTCTATCGTTTAGCCACTGTGAGGTAGCGACTCCACTAGGCACACAGAACATGTCTGAACTAATTGTACAGATTACTACACTTTTGTACAGAATTACAGATCCCATCCCACCGCGTGCTATCGCTCCAGAAATTTTTGTTTATCCTTGTCTTCTACGATGAGACCCGACCCGCCCGACCGGTTCCGATAAAAAAATGTTTGCTACGGTCGGTGAATCCCATGGACAGTATTGATTTTTCCCCCGGTTTCTTGCGGAAGAGAGAAGAACATATTATGATCTCTCACTCAGTTGGGTTCCTACTCCGTGGCGTTTTTTTAAATTCCCTTGTGAATAACTTGTCATACTTTGCCTAGACCCTAGACCAATATAATTTGTATATCTGGAAAAACATCTCACTCTTTTTCCGTTGATTATTTTTTTCACTCAATTTGTATCCATTTTAAAGTTTTGTATTAATAAGACATTACAAAATATTGATAATATAATCAATCTGAATGTGATAATTTCTCAGAGTCTCATCAGTAGATAGAAAATAAATAGTCAGATATCTTTGAATCTCTGATTGTTAATGGTTCACTATAAAAATGAAATAAAATACATCATCTATAATAGGCATAATATACAGAGTGAGTCATAACTATTGGAACATATGTAGAATTCATTTATTTATTGGATTACAAGAGTTGATGCTGCTTGAAGAGATAAAATCAACAGAAAACAGCTACATTTTCAGTCTATATGCCACGATATATAATCATGAAATCGGCGTAGATATTTTGTGATACCAGTAACTTTTTCTGAGTAGAATCGATTTTGCCGCTCCAGAACAACGGAGTACAGACTATGGAACGCTCAGAATCTCCGCCCTAACAACACAGCCCTAACAACACAGGAATGTCCTAGGTACGTCCCTTTTTTGTCCCGCGGTATAAGGACATGATTGGGGCATCCAGGGGATGTCGCGCAGTGGTTGTCCAGTGGACATCCCGCCCGGTACATCCCTAGTTTATCCTATTCGTGTCCCTGAAATATCTGATATCCATTCACATCAGAGTCATTGAATTTCATCAAAGGATTAAGTTGAATTTTTTTGAAAATGTTTGTTTTTCTTCCGGAAAATGATCGTAATGAAAATAAAGAATAAAGTTTCAGAACTTCTTAAGAAATTACCATTTTTCGCAAACAGAAATCGTACATGCATAATGCCCCTCATTTTTGAACACCCAAGAATGATATAATAATTATACCCAAATCCTAACAAAGTTGTATTTATTCAGGTTCCTGTAGTTAAGTCCTGTTTATAAATCTGTTCAGTACATAAATCTCCAGGAGGCTCAATAGCCAATAGAGTAAGATGCGTGCCTGATAAGCCAAAAAGGTCCCTGGTTCGATCCGTACTCGACCTACATCTTTTTTTTTTCTTTTGTCGAAGGGATGTCCCTGGGATATCCTTGGGACGTCCTAGGGATATCCTTTCTTCGTACTTATGGTACATCCCAGGGACGTACCAGACGGAAATCCCTTGGATGCTTTTTTGTCAGCCAGCTGATGTCCCTGGGACGTCCGTAGTATGTACTCTGTCCCGACAAAGGATTTCTCTGGGATGTCCTGTATAAAATCAGGGACGTCCCTGGGAAGTTCCTAGGATGTACTTGTGTTGTTAGGGCGACAAACGACGGCTTGGCAGCCCTATCACCGACAAACGCACCGAGTCGGCCGCCCCACAAAAATCAAAGGAAATTATTGGCACTCCAAGTTTCGGCAATACATAGGTCGGATCATATACCAGTATAAAATACTTTGGATTGATAGCGGTATAGAATTGTCACGCAATGTTCCGCGTTTTTCATGTGATAAAAATCAGTAATTTCAATAATATCTCGAAAATTGTACATAGCTCTGACAAGAAAATGATTTGCGACAGTGAATTATCGTTTGATTTAGTAATTCGACATAATGGAATATGAAATTCCACTCAAACAGACCCATTTAGATTCAGTTCTAGGGTAAAATACACTAAGGTGACAACACTAGTCCGGGTTCGTGAATTTCAATCGAATTTATGAGCAGCTTATATATTGATATCCGCTGACCAGTTTATTCCACAATCGCCAAAAATGGAAGCATTTATTGTTGAGACATTAAATTTTGTGTTTCACTCCAAAATTCGATTTCTATAAACTTCCGTCCGTGATGCGCTCGTTAGAAGCACATCCAGTACAACTATTACTAACAAATTCGAATTTACCGCCATATTAGTTAGAATCGTACCGATTGATCGTGGATTCGATACAAGCGTTGTGGATTATGGATTGTTTAATTGTTCCAAGTCGCACGCCATCTGCATTCCAATAGATTCTCTTCGTAAGTGGCGCACCTGCCCGTCAAATTACGAAGTATTGCTCCGACATCGTTCGACACTATCGCCGCCACTATGTGAGATTTCGAACTATGGTACGCCATCAAGTTGTGAGATTTTTTTGGGCCTCGTTTTGCCCCATAAGGTTGGGCATCTTCCCAGCGTAAGCGTAATATATCAATCAACGCTATCACATGTGTCATCTAATCAAAACGGGTAAAAACGAAAACGGAGGATACCTATGTTGAAGTCACTAGGTCTAAATCACATTCAAGTCAGTGTCAATTTTCTAGAAGTTACTTTCAATGATCTCTCCATTGTTCACCTTCTCGCATCTTCTAGAATGTTCCATTTTGATCTCGCTGGAAACTAATAACACACTTCACTTTCCAAAAAGAACAAATATGTTTTCTGATTATGAGATACTTGATAATCACAGTTTGTACTCCAAAGTTGAGAATTATTACGAGACTAATTTGAAATTAAAATAGAGCTACGAAAGGGATATGGAATCTCAAAGGTATTGGGACGCTGATGCCTTGATAAAAAAATATAGTTGTAATTAGAAGTTTATTTACATTAAATAATTTCTGACTCAATAAAATAAATACAAAACTATACAGTTCAAAAATTGTACACCGGATACAACCATGCGGAAGCTTACACAATTATAAGCTAGTTTGAAAAATGAACAACTACCTACCCTCATATATTTAATTATCTAACACAACTTTTTTACAACCAAGTTCTCGAAAAAAATATATATACGTATACAGAATGAAAAGACACAGGTAACAAATTTGAAAGTTCAAAGTACCAGATCTTACTGAAAATACAGACGTCATATAAGATTTATTATTATGCCAGTCAAGCCTCTTCTTCAAGAAGACCCATTTTATGCTAGTTGATGTTTAGAAAAATTTTGAGGGTCATTGAAAATGTGTGTCAATTATTTAAATTATTCATCTGTCATTTGGGGTTTAGTTCAAGTTAAGCATGATTTCAACTGAAGTCATTTCGAATTCCAAACATTAAATGACAGAAGAATGTTTATTTAAAAAACACCCTTTTATTTTCACGACCTACTAGATTTTTCTTCCCGAAGTATGGCAAATCAATGTAAAAATCTCATACTTTCAATTAAAATTTGGAAATAACTCCAATTTATTGGGCAATAATAAAAATTGATTACCTAACGATTTATAATCTGGAACTTTGTCTATTTGTCTTACTAACACCAAAAAGTTTGATACTGAAGGTGGGAAACAAGTTAAACAACAAGCTGAAAATTAAGTTTGCTGTATAGTATTTCAATGGTAACAAATCACAAAATCTAATTTGAAATATTCAAAGGAAGAGACGTCAAAATTTAACTAGACGATTTTGTAGCCTATTATATTTGGAAGCACGCATTCTGCAGCTCAAATGAATAATCGAAGCTATTTTTATTCGACAATGATTTATTCGACTAAAGCAAATGTTTGCAACTAGTGGTTAAATAGAGTACCGACGGTTCATCCTCATGGCAACTCAATTTGTAATATTAATCGCCAATAATAATTATTTCTACATGTACATGTCTCACGTCAAGTAATTAGGTGATGAAATGGTTAATTTTCAAGATGAACTAAATAATATTGCACTACCAGCTGGATGGCTTTGGGTAACAGTCAAAATTTGTATTAATTCGGGCAAATACACTTATTTACAATACCTAATGGCAATCAGTGAAATATAGTTAATATCATCACATAATAACGTATTTTCCATAAATACTATGTACATTTTTGCAAAAAGAAAGAGGAGACTACTAAAAGTCAATATACTCGTGCAAAAAATCAACACTTCTTCTATATATAGATATACAATCAGAATAATAAATTAAAGCTATGTCTTTCCAGACACTCAAAGTTCTACAGGGAATCATCAAAATGAAGGTGAAACAATTCAATCTAAACATTCATTCTACCGGACTCATAAAGAAAATATCACAAAAAGCACCATCTCATTCGTATTTCGAGGATAAAAACTAGAAAACCTATGCAAATCTCGTGATGTGCAGTTTAAGTGGGACTTAAGATATAACACAATTAGTATCCTTTGCCGGTAGTTCGATGTGAGAAACGTCTTTCTCGATAATCTCATCGTCCTCAATGCTGCAAAGGTTCAAACATTCAACAAATTGATGGGTGACAAAGTCTAAGTTCTACTCACGCTTTCTCTTGATTGTCCAAATGATGTACGAGCTCGTCTCGTTTATTCACGATCTGAACTAGTTCCTCCAACAACTCCTGTTCTCTATTTCTTTGTTCCTCTGTTTTCCTCCAATCTTCGATGGAAGCTATCTTCCGAAGCTCAGCGTTCAACATCTTATACTTTGTTTCCAGGTCAGCTTCCTTCTCTCTGAAAAATCCGGATTCTTCACCAATAACATCAATGAGATGCCTTTCAAACTTCAACATTTTTATTTTTTCGTTAAATTCGAATAGAATGTACTTGTGAATTATTTTTTTAATGATATGCAAATATTGATATCAAGAAGAATAAGCTTCATGAAATGACTCATCATAACCTGCCTCTGATTGAGGGAAATAAGAAATATCGTTCAACTTCTTATACTTTGTTCCCAGTTGAGCTTCTTTATCTCTAAAAAACCCGGATTCTTCACCAATAACATCAATGAGGTCAGAAGATGGAGAACCCTGACCGATTTTTTTGACGTTGGCCCTTTGTCTCTCGTAATTTCAACATTTTTATTTGTTCGTTGAGGTCGAATAGAATATACTTCTGAGTTTTTTATCTACATTACAACAACATGAACTTTATGAGATGATTTAATGATAGGAAGATTCGAATATATTGATCTCAAGAAAAATAAGCTTCATGAAATGACTCATCATAACCTATCTGATTGAGGAAAATTAGAAATATCGTTCAACATCTTATACTTGGTTTCAAGTTCAGCTTCTTTCTCTCTGAAAAACCCGGATTCTTCACCAATAACATCAATGAGGTCAGAAAATGTAGCTGACTGTTTTTTTTTGACGTTGGCCGTTTGCCTCTTGTAATTTCAACATTTTTATTTGTTCCTTGAAGTCGAAGAGAATGTAGCTGTGGGTTATCGAGATTACAACATGGACTTTATGAAATGCTTTTATGATAGGAAGATTATACTGTGATTAAAATATTGAAATCGAGAAGAATAAGCTTCATGCAACGACTCATTATAACCTGCCTAATTGAGTTAAATTATAAATATCGTTCAACATCTTATACTTTGTTTCCAGTTGAGCTTCTTTATCTCTAAAAAACCCGGATTCTTCACCAATAACATCAATGAGGTCAGAAGATGGAGAACCCTGACCGATTTTTTTGACGTTGGCCCTTTGTCTCTCGTAATTTCAACATTTTTATTTGTTCGTTGAGGTCGAATAGAATATACTTCTGAGTTTTTTATCTACATTACAACAACATGAACTTTATGAGATGATTTAATGATAGGAAGATTCGAATATATTGATATCAAGAAAAATAAGCTTCATGAAATGACTCATCATAACCTATCTGATTGAGGAAAATTAGAAATATCGTTCAACATCTTATACTTGGTTTCAAGTTCAGATTCTTTCTCTCTAAATAACCCGGATTCTTCACCAATAACATCAATGAGGTCAGAAAATGTAGAACCCTGACTGTTTTCTTTTTTGACGTTGGCCGTTTGCCTCTTGTAATTTCAACATTTTTATTTGTTCCCTGAAGTCGAAGAGAATGTAGCTGTGGGTTATCGAGATTACAACATGGACTTTATGAAATGATTTTATGATAGGAAGATTAAAATATTGAAATCGAGAAGAATAAGCTTCATGAAACGACTCATTATAATCTGCCTAATTGAGTTAAATTATAAATATCCTTCAACATCTTATACTTTGTTTCCAGTTGAGCTTCTTTATCTCTAAAAAAACCCGGGTTCTTCACCAATAAGATCAATGATGTCAGAAGATGGAGAACCCTGACCGATTTTTTGACGTTGGCCCTTTGCCTCTCATAACTTCAACATTTTTATTTGTTCGTCGAATAGAATGTAGCTGTGAATTATCGATATTACAACTAAACCAGTCATTTGGTGACAAAAAGCACTGTATTCATGAAAAAATTGCTAAAGAATTTTTATCGACGGATCTATATGGTTTTTGTGGTGCCGTTTGTTATTGTTTAAATAATCAAAGTTTTTTTTACTGCTTACAAGATATTGAGTTGCATTTGCCTCCTGAGCAAAGCGTTTTTCTTGTTAACGAGGAGAAACCACTGAGTCATTAAGGCTTCCTCTTCTTCCCCGTTACTTTCTCTGGACTCCATGACAGTCCTCAATTGTTTTTCGAGAACTGCCGCCTGTTCATCGATGGCTCTTTGTTCTCTTTCGAGATCGTCGTTTTCTTGATCTATCCACGAGTTCACGTCTATACCCATCTACGAAAAGGTTTCGGGAATCACAATATATTACACCTCTGATTCCTTAGAGTACAGCAGATTAGCTAAACTATGGTGCACTTTTTGATCAAGGCACCAATTTTGGTAGACCGATATAAAATGAACAAATTTGGATGTGGACCAACGGCAAACTGCCCTCTGGCGGCCGTTGTGGTGGCCGGGTGTAAACGTGGTCTGGAAAAGATCTCTTGCTCCATTTTTTATCTCTTACAATAAGAGATAAAGGCGATCTTTTTGGAGATATAGTAGAATATCGTTTATTTTGATCTCTACAAGATTTTTTTTGAACCCGGGGCCACAAGATTGATGATTTATTCAACAGTTGGTATTTTTTCACATATTTTTATTTTGATCGTTAACTAAGATTATTTCGAAAAATTATGATACTCAGATGTTGATTTCAATAACGAGCCTATCGATATTCGTTTTCTATGTGTCCGAAATTATGCATGAACTTCTATGATACTTCGACCATCGCATCAATGAAGTAATAATTGAAAGTTGATTCGAGAAAAAGGTTTGAATTTCCAAAAATACAGACCAATCATACAGGAAATGTATGGTATATGAGATGAAAGAGAAATGAAAATAGGAATGCAGTTCTAGTGAAATATACCTTGAATAAACAATAAAGTTATGACCATTCGAACAGCTCTTGACTCTGACTGAACTCTGACAGTTCAATATGATTCACCCTGTAAGATAACTTCCAATTATGACTTCATTGAAGCGATAGTCGAAGTATCATAGAAGTTCATGCATAATTTTGGATGAAACTTTTATAAAAGAAGACCAACATATGCGTATTATAATTTTTCGAAATAATTCTAATTAACTCCGCTCATGAATCGTTCCTCTATAGGAAAAATATTCTTGCCAGGCGTGTATAGCTTTACCACACTATACGAGGACACCTGGTTTATATCATATAAATTGAAGGATTCAATTCGAAACATTCAATGAACATTTACGAACCATCAGCAGCAAACTTTATTCAACTTCTGATGTCTTTCGCGTGTCCACCAGGCTGCTTCACATTCCAATTCGTTCATATTATATCGGTCTACCTGTGTGTGTGCCAAATTTAGTGCCTTTCATTTTCTCAAAAACATTCAATTATTTATACTTTGAGGAATAATAAGAAAGAAACATAAATATATGTTATGGTTATGACATTGTTTGGATATTGGGATTAGGTATCTTGGCAAGGTAGTTCAAAAACTCACTTCTTTCAATCCCAACTGATCTGGCAATTTATCTGGAGTAATCCTGTCTCTTATATGATCGTTTGGACTAGATTTAACAGAGACCTCCTCGGAACTATTCACATCACCCAAATAAATATTCCCGTTTTTCTCTGAACCTACAATGAAAAAACATTCTCTCAAACATCCATTATAGCCTGGGAGCAAGTAATCAATATCTCATTTGATAAAGCTTGGTTCATTTTTTATAGCTTATCAACAAAATTCACTCCTGCCATCTCAATCGCGGGACAACGCTTATCAAACATGATGAATGCTGAAAATTTACCAATCGTTCAATGACATATCAGTTAGAAACAAAATCTCCTTCTGCCACCTGTTTTGTAGCACGATGTACTCCTGTCATGGACCTAATGATAAGAAAAAAACAAAATGTCCCAGAACAATAACATACCTCAAATTCTACAGGGTGAACTACAGACCTGATTAGGCCGATCGAAATCAACTTACCTTTATACAAAAATGCACCGACGAGCCGTTGAAGGCACTGAAGAATAGTTTCATTTCCAGATTTTCTTGAATATTTCGAAATTCTTAAATGGTACTTCTTCAAAATTCGTAGGGCGATGTAACATAGTGGATGTGCATGAAAAACATGTTATACCGATTCGATCAATATACAGAGAGATCGGTTTTCGCATTCTCTTTATACCTAATACTTGTTATTATCATGATGTATCAGGATTATAATGTTTTGCTAGATTTTACCTCATTTGTGTCGAGTTATTGACCAAAATAATCATGTTCATGACCTACTCTAGCATATGATAAGACTTGGTCATCTTAAGTGTTTCAACTCGAATAATTTTGCGAGAAAAAAACAATTTGGAAATGATCAGCTCCCAGATCATATTCTATTATGATGATGACCATGCGAAATAGTGAACATGAATATTGTGGTCAATAACAACTCAAATGAGGTAGCAATTTGTAAAACATATGGTAGATCATCATGACATTATAAACGAGTATGGAGAAGCACCAACATTAATTTTATTGGATATCTCGAAAACCAAAACGAATTATCAATAAACTTCAGTAAAAAACAAGTTAGATAATTCATTTTATTTACTCACTGAATCGAAAATAGGCGTTTGCTCCCTCATTCGAGGAAACAAAGATATCAAGTTACACGGGAGGAAAAAAATATCAACTCCCGTGGGAGGTAAAATTAATTGGCTTCAGCATGCATCCTTTGGCGTCGATATATATAGAATCTTTGCAATCCAAGTAATCAGTATCTTTATCACTATTATAAAACAAATAACAATAATATATTTTTTGAATTCCAATGATATCATATGCTTCTTCATATTCCGAACGCACTTGTTATCAAAACTTTCAAATGCAGTTACACAATATGATGATCAATTCATGATGACAGAAGTGTCACATTGACTTTTGTTCAAATGCCATCAACTGTCCATGGCATACTATACCTTTGTAATACAAAATGATGGATCAAGAGAAAGGCCGCCTGAAGCACAACCCACAAAGAATGATGCTTTGCACATTTTAGAGCAGTACCATTCTAGGGTTCTGAAATGTTTAAGAGAATTTGAAAGTAAAGGTATTCTTCTCACGGCACATTTTCGTATAGAGGTAAATTAATCGAACAACCTATTCATGGACGTAGATCTGGGACACTTTTTTTTACATCATTTGGTCCATGGCAGGATTGCATCGTTCTACGACACAGGTAACAGGAGGTGATTTTTGTTTTCTAAATTATATGTCATTGAACGATTGGTTGTGTTTCAGATTTTATTATGTTTGACATTTATTCGTTTCTTTTTTCAAGATTGATAAGATGCTGATCAGCGTTGTCCCGATAGTGCGCCGGTAGGAGTTGATTTCATGCCTTGAAGGCGTAAATATGAAACGAAAATAATGAAATTATACTTTATCAAATGTGTCAAAAAAATGTCGCTGTTTCCCTAACTATGACTGATTCTATTCAAATAGTTGGTACCGTTTTGCCGTTCCAGTATTTGCATCTCGTTATTCAGATATTTCAATTTGTCGCCGGCCTCTAAGTAGGCGTTAACAGATTCCGGACTGATTCTGATTATTTCAGTGGTGGAGCCTGAACCCCTTCTTGCCCCCTCAAGGATCCTCCTCGCTCTTTCGCGAAGTTGAGCTTGTCTTTCTTCTTCCGACTAAATAATCAATACAATACTTAATTACCTCTCGACTTTATACTAGATGTCCCTAGAAGGTATTTACAAAACACTTATTACATATTCCTCGGACCAAAGCAAATCGCGATATATCGAAGACTGGAACCTTTGGCACTCGATAATCCACTATACTGTACTGTATTACCACTAACAAATAGTTATTTATTATACTAGGGAAAAAAGTAGTAGATTTTAGCTCCAGGTTGTGTTGTCGACGCGTAGCGGAGAGAGACAAAAAACCGTGAACTCAAATCTAATATTTTTCGCGTGTATAATACACTATTTTTTTCTGTGACAGAAGAAAGGACGAATCAATATTGAGAAGATATTACCGAGGGGTAAATCTCCAGGAAAAATGTGTACACCAGACTTCCAATGACCAAAGACTTCCGAAGAATCCCAAAGACTTCCAAAGACTCCCAAAGACTCCCAAAGACTTCCAAAGACTTCGAAAGACTTTCAAAGACATCCAAAGACATCCAAAGACTTCCAAAGACATCCAAAAAGATCCAAAGACTTCCAAAGAATTCCAAAGACTTCCAACGGAGTGTACACCAGACTTCCAAGGAGATTTACCCCTCGGATATTACATTATTTTGGAATCTGAAAATTATCGACGTGAACTTTCAAGTTTTCAACAGTAGGGACACCTGCATTGTAGTAGCAATTATCATTCTTTTGAACTAATCAAATATCTTATGTCACTTCTGTCAGTCTAATTCTGTGATTTGATTTAAAAAAATTGCGAATTTAGTGGTTGTTTAGTAATATACGTAAAGGCGAAGTCGAATGGAAGATAAAAGGACTTGCAATTCTTTCTCGGAGACGGTATTATTGACTCATTTTTCGGAACTAAAGCACAACAAAGCCATTAACAGTGTATATATATGTGATATATATCAGGGAAAAAAGTAATTTATGAAAAATGACATATTATAACCTGCCAACAGAGATGAAATGCCAAATTTCCCGTCACAGAAAAAAACATTTTTTAAACGCTTGTTCACGGCATTATTCAAACAGTTCACAATCTGATCTTGATTATTGTTAATTTAGTACATGACTGTTTTGAACGCTATTTGAAAAATAATTCCAAATCAACACGTACTGCTGGTCTCGGAGCATCTTAATCCTACACACATTCATCCAATTGTTATTATCCTAATTTGATCTTCATACATGTAGGTACTCCCTTTCTGTATAAGTATAGTCCTTTTTGTTGCATGTGATGATTTCGGAATATTTACTGATGGTTCTGAAGTTTTTTCACGAGTTTCGATGGTTGAACAAAACTTCCTGGATTTCGTTTCAACTATTTTGAACTTACTGTATGTTTCGATAAAATAAAAGCAATTACCAGCACTCAGGCACAAAGTAAACCTCAGAAAAAAATAATCAAAACTCACTCAAAACAATGGCCTCGCCATATTTGTTGTCATTTTTGTTCATTCTCGCAAGACTTGTGAAGTTAGTCACCAGAGGCCGCACACTTCGTGATTCTCGCGAATCTCCAAGAATTTGGTTTTGAACATCTGTTGGTGTATATTTTTCCAGATGCTAATATAGTTAGCAAAATACGTGTCAAGGTGTTTGCAAAGTCGGTTTGGTTAGTGGTAAAACAATGTAGTGCGCAAAACAAATCGATAGAAGCAAACTTACCTCAGTACAAAGTTGCTTAGTTTGGGCTCTGAAGTTACAATTTCAAATAGTTTTTGCTTTATTACTTTGAAACGGTTGATATTTCACTCGAATTTGGTACGTTGGCATATAGCTTTATTGGATAATGAAGCTCATATCCTGATGATGATGAATATCATTTCATGGGCGTAGAACTTGATTCATTCAGTAATAAACAAACATCTAAAACTTTTACGCCAATGGAATGAAATTTGAATTGCGTAACTGGTTTACAACAAAAAATGTACTCCTAATAGAATTAGATTACTCTCATGGTATTGATAGAATTTGAATTTCAGTAATTGGAAGCAACAGTTAACATAATGGTTGATGAAGTTACAAGGCCCATATGTAGCAAATTACGTATGTGCTTGAATATTGTGATCCGAGTAGAACAACCGAATCCTTTATTTGCGTATCGGTGGCGTGTGGTTCAAGTCTTTTCGTAATCCCGCTGAAAGATTACATTTTGATTCCGAGGAAATAACAAACCTTTTACCTCGTGATTCTACAAAACAATCCCAACATCGTGTTGTTATGGAAACGTTAACGGCGGCCGTTAAACAATCTTAACGGGCGGATGCTGTTAACATTAACACGAGAGCTTTTTTTTGTCGAAGTAAACTTGACATGTATCAATAGGAATTTTGTTGTCTGGCAAATTGACGAAAAAAACTGCCTCTGAAAAAACTACGAGTCCGTGGGACAAGTAATTTTTTCTGGCAGTTTTTCAAGTTGAATTAACTAATGGCAACAAAATCCGAATTATAAATGCCAAGTTTACTTCGACAAAAAAAAGCTAGAGTGTAATTCGGTAAGACAATTCAATTCATCAATCATTTGTTAATGGCTGGAAAAGTTGTAAACTAGCTCACCACCGCAAACCGTTTCTTGCTGTGAGCTCCCTACGTTTTATAAAAAATTATTGAAATCCTCGATTTTTCGGACCTCTGAAAACGAGGCGATGATGTGACGTCAAAACCCTAATACTGAAACAAGATTATTCCAGACAGAGATAAATGATACATGATTTCTGACAGAGTGAATTAGCGCAAGATCACAGTTGAGAGAATTAATATATCAGTTGCCCCAGTCTCCGTCGGGCGTTTGGTATTTTCTTTTAACTATGGCGAGATAAGGTTTTTAAGTCATAAGAGGGTCCGTTTTCAGAAGGAACTATTATTTATGTCCAAAAATAAAACATTCCAGTTAATTTTTCGATCGAAAGGATCATTATAAACATGGTTTGAGTTAAAATTTCTACTAAGGTGTACACGCCCATTGTTCAAAAAATTTATTGATATTACGTATACGAAGATTTATATGAGGAACGGAAAGTGGGTACAAGCAAACTCACTTCAGTACAAAGTTGCTCAATCTGGGCGCTAGATGACTCTTGCTTACTCAGTGCAAAAGTAAACAACAAAAATAGCTGAAAGTAGATTTCAATTAACTTTATACTTAGGCAAATTTGCTTTAATGTAATTGTTTTGATCAGAGGAATACGTGGTGAGTTTTCGTAAAGACCTTCAGAGGGACACTATATTTACAATGGGAGTATATTTTGTATACGACAAATTATTGGAGGATCACCATGATCAAGAAGTTAAATAGTCTTTGAACATTTTTCCCAAAAGACGAAATTTTAACTTCTGATCATGAATAGTTTTTGCTTTGCGAACTAATGCTACCACTTGCATTACATACCCTGGAAGGTGAAGTGGGATTAGAGCCGTCTTTTCTGGCTTGCTCCAGCAACATTCTTGCCCGCTCCCTTAGCTCTGAGTGCCTCATGAGTATTTGCTGCACACGTGTCAAAAAACTTTTAATCGCATGCCAAACCTTCACAAAATGTTAGTTGTAGCTGCTAGGGTTAGTGGGGATATTTTACCATTTACGGATCTACTACTACTAGTGCTAGAGAATACCAATACTTTGCAGATATTTTTTCAACATGTAGCATACAATCTCAGTAAATCCTATACAGAGATTAATAACAGGTGTGTGGGTAGGTTCTAGTGCCACCTTTTGAATTTTTGAAGAATTAATTCAAGTGGAAAAAAATATGAAGAATTAATTTTTGATGGATTTGAAATTGAATCACACATTACACTTACAAAAAAATAACGAAGTTATTCGAAAATTCTAAAAAAATATGGAATAGAAAGGTACTTGAGTGATGATTCTATTCAAGAAATAAACAAAAATTAGTAAACTCGCCTTTTATCGCCTCGATTTCGGTAACACCCTGTATGCGCTTGTAGGCTCCATATTAATATATTATGAGATTTTATTGACAATTAGCATTATGAATAATTGAAGAATTTTCCAAAGAATGCCATGGATTTCATTTTCGCCTTCATAATCAGGGAGGTGCACAAGAAAAAGCCAAAAGTGACATGATCAATATGTTCTTTGAATAATAGGTAATTTGGTATACTTGCTACCCAACAAATTTTCAAATCCAACCTGGAATTATTCAGAAGTTACAGTACTGGACGTTTTTTTTTTGTTCACTTCTCTGTATATTCAACTAATGAGATGTTTGAAACAAGATAAAAACAGAATGAATTATGTGTTCTACATTTATGAACCCTTTGAAACCATACTTGTTCTTGATAAAACTGTGACGTCATCAATAAATATATTTGATTGCGATTCAAATTTTGAAAAAAAAAACATCTCTTCCAAATGGAAAGCAAATACAGATTTGGAGATAAGTCATAAATTGACAACTCAAAATAAAGTTCAGGTTATTTGTTGAAAATAATAATTGTTGAAAACCAATTCCTGAAGGTGATCTATTGTTGCAGATACACATATTATCTACATTCATTGATATATAATTACACTGTTGAATATGTCGTCTTGAATGATGATTGGTGAAAAGTGGATCATTTCCATATTATTAATTAGTTCACGGACTAAAGACTTATCACATGTCATTTCAAAACTTTCTAAGAAGTTGAATGCGGTTGAAAATTAACTTTGAATGCGGTTCATCAAGAAGAAACATGTATGGTGAGAGAAAAAGAGAAAGACAGATCAACCAAAGCAAAAACTTACCGCATTCGGTTTCGGCAGTTCAGAGAAAATAGTGTCTTTTTTATCGCTATCAGCAAAATCCGAGCTATGATTGGCGTCACCATTTACTATTGGAATTTTGCAACTATCTACTTTGGTTTCCGGCTTGTTATCGAACGGAGGCATATCTTCCTCGTCATCCGAACCGAAGGGATCTGTCAATTCCCTTCGGGTCATGAGTATCGGTTTCTTCGGTTCCGGTTTCTTTTCTTCTTGCTTCTTCTGGTGCTGCTCCTGTTTGTCTCTTCCGGGAGACGAAATCACCTGAAGAATGTCTCTTTGAAACCAACGCTTTTCGGTTCGTTTGATGGGTCAATTAATATAATGAACTCTGAGACAATTTAGTTGGCGAAAAACATGTAGGTCACTTGGTTCCATTTGGAAATCCCCTTGATTTATTCTTTACTCAATGTATTTTTCCTCGAGTTTTTCTCATTTGACGAAACAATTTGATCGTGTTTTGACATCAAAAACATAGTCTTGGAAAACTATTGATTTTTATTAGTGACAGCGATTGTTATAAGAAGTTTCGGAACAATGTAATGACCGAAATTACTAGGCAAGAAGCTGTCGTAACAATCGATCGACGAGTATTTCCGAGAAAAATAGAATCATAAGTATCATTCCTATGACTATTTCATGATTGAAACAGACAATAAATAATGAACCAGAAATCCGTGACGTCAAAATTGAATATCATACGTATGGGTGAATTCGGCTTATGTATTGGTGGAGAAATTGATTAGTCAACAAAAAATATCGCTGTAATCCAGGAGATATTGTAAAAATTATCGATTCTGATTAGTTCTCGAAAACAAGAATGGAACAGTCATACTCAAATCCTGAAAGTAGAAATATCTTCAGAATTAAAATAAGAATTACAATAAAACTGAATAGAATGTTGTGAAATGAATTCTGAGGAGGATATTGTTATATGAATTACAGCAATGTCAACTTGAAAATAAAAACAAGTCGACAAGAGATCACATTTCTCTTACCTTACTCATAATATTCTTGGAACCATTCAAAATAATATCTTTGACATCTTTGACGATCGTGGGCGATTTTTCTTTGCTCTCCTTGACAGCTTCAGGTTCGCTGATTATCTTCAAGGGCAATCTCAGTTTCGAGGCATCCCCTTTCTGATCGTTATGAGTAGCTTTGTTCGCCATATTCATCTCTTTTTCTTTCTGGTTCTCCTGCTTCTTGTTCAGTTTTGCTTTACGGAAGTTACTGATTTCCTGTCCAAACACCTTCAATAAAAAAATAAGAGTTTTCACTTTGAAGCAATCTACCAATGTTAGAAATGAACTGAAGAACAAAACTTTGTATACGAGGTGTCACAGACATACGTGCCATGATTTCATTATGATGCTGTACCAAGACAAGTCTGAAAGTCTACAAACATCCATGATGAATAAAATTCCCACACTCTGTTATCGAAAAACCGACTTCACCATTTTGGTAATACTCTACTCTCAATAATTATTTTTTGCTACGAAAATGTCGAATTGAAATTATCGTTCCAGTATCAGTTTTTTTGTAATGAATTGGCACTGAACTCATGGCATGGCATTAGTACCCTGTTATCTCTTTGCCTGTTGTTTTCTCTTCATAAAATGAACCGGATTAAAGCGTGATTTGCATAATGTTTTCCTAGTCCTGTACCTGTTTGGAGATGTCAGTGTCTGTATCGGTGCTGAATTTTCCAATGACGTAGTTGCTTTCCTCTACGGTTTTACCGATTTGCTGCACTTCCAATTGGTGTCCAGTAAAATGCGCCCTGAGTTGGTGGAGGTAAGTCATGACGGCCAGTTTATCGGGAACTAGATTCAATAAATCACCTTCATTAATAATGTATTTCCCGTAGATCTTCCAATAATTTCAAGGACGAATTATTTCATCTTCAAATCAGTTTGTTGCATTTTTTTATATTTCAGATACTTTGGAAAATTTGAATATTAAATTCAGGAGAAATCATGAAGTTTGATGTTTTTGATAGTGACATACATGATGTTGAATGGAAACATTGTCAAACATCGAGGGATGATTTTCTGGGTGTTCATACACACAAAGGTCGAAAAATGCATAGTTTCCAAGATACGTGTGGTCAAACTTTTCATGAAATAGTGTTTGTATGTTGTAGTAATGAACTTGTCATCTTGGAAACAGCCAAAAATCAGCCCTCGAAGTTGGGCCACATAATCAGTCAACACCTTGTAAAACAGATAAATTTTGCACGCCAACATTCCACGTTTGAAAAGTTGGTTATTAATCAAATCTCGTTTTGTTCTGCTAAATATATTCCGGAAATGTTCCCTTAGGCTAACTTATTTTTTAAATCTTATATTTTCATTCAACATACTTGCTAACATATCCATATCAGAAGGTTCAATGACTCTGGGTATGCCTAGCTTCTCTCCAGCATCAAAGGCTTTCTTGCAATTACCTTTGACGTCATGTGGTGTCAACGATTCGAAGTTTCTGCAAATTCATAGTGATTACTGTGACTTGCTTCATGAAATAGGGAAGCCTTGGTTATTTACACTTACAAGATGAACCATCCTTGAGAACAATGAAGCCAGCAATTCTATTTCTATAAAAAACCGGCCATCAAAAAATGTTGCCAAATCGTTTGCCCTGTAACTTTTCTAATTCTTGTGCGATTTTGGTAAAATTTCAACTAAATCGAATATTCATGTTTCGGACTGTTAGCCTGAATATTAGGTCCTGAGGAAAGCTGACGGCTTGATCATTATACAGGGAGAAACAAAAGTTACTTTTCCACCCTCAAACTCCTATAACGCCCTGAGGAAAAGGTGAGTGATTGAGCTTAGCTTCATTATGTTTTGGATTGAAGTGTGATCCCTTCTTAACACAATAGTTCTTGATTCACGTCGATAACCACTTTTTAAGAGGTGATACAAGTTTTGTGTTATAAGAAAGTATGGATTTTTTTTTAAATAATTCTCCAACCTTCCGCTTCATCTTGTTATGAATTGAATTGTGATCCTTTTTCGTTCCTTCTTAACACAATGATTCTAGATTCATGTCAATATCTTCTTTTTAAAAGAAGATACAAGTGTTTCAAGAAAGTATGGATTTTTGAAATTTTTATTAACCATTAACCATAATTCAGAACCTATAGAGCATCTTAGGGATGAACTCCAGAGGCTCATTCGCCTTCGTCAGGCCTTGTCAGAGACACTTCAAGAACTACGATTCGCCCTTCAAGGAGAATTTTAAGCAATTCTTCAAGACCACTTGAGAAATTTGATCAACTCTATGCTACGACGGTTGAATGATGTAAATCAAACTCGAGAAGGCCGAGGAGGGCATACTCGTTATTGACTACAGGTCTAATTCGTTTGTTTTTTGTAGTGGTAAGAAAAGAGGTAGAAATGAGTGACATTAATTCTTCAAGTTGTTCATCGATAAGTTTATGTAGGTTCTGATTATTGTTGATGAAAATTGAAAAATGCCATACTTTCTTAAAACACTCCTATCTCCTCTTAAAAATAAGATATTGACGTGAAACAAAGACTATTGTTTTAAGAAGGGATCACACTTCAATCCAAAGCATAATGAAGCCAAGTTCAATCACACAATTCCGCTACAGGGCGTTAAGAAGGGTGGAATAGTAACTTCGGTTTTTCCCTGTATAATGATCAAATCATCCGCTTTTTCACGGAAACTAATATTTCGGCCAACATTGTAGTACAAAAATCTACGGTTTGATCCAAATCCCACAAAAATCTGACAAGGGTTTCAAAAGCCACAGGGTGAACAATCTGGGCAAATTTTTTAGTGGCCGTTTTTTTGCCGGTGAATGTATTATCGATGTTTATTTTTAGATATTTTTATGAAAGAAAAATTTTGCATCAGGATCGGATTAAAATATTCTTGTTTGACTTCATAATATCAAAGTTAGTGATTTCCATGCTTCAGAAAGAAAAATACGTCTAGATATTTCAGCAACTTGAAATCAGATAGAATCGACCAGATTCTGAGACTAGACAAATCGGTCGAGTTTCCGTAGTGCTAGGCCAAATTTCACATGGAGGTGGATCTTCTTGTTAGTGAAAATAATCAAAGATGGAAGTTATGATGAATAAAGCTCGAATTTACCGGATTCTTACATAAAACTTACATCAAATCAGGTTTGAAATGATGAATGAGGGCACAAAAAGCCATCCCGTTCCTCCAACTAGTCGAGAGATTAGTCACCATCACTCCTGGGTAGCTTTTCGTCATTTCTTTGCACCATTCCAGCAAATCTTGCCCTTGAAGGAAAACCAGCAATTCATAAAAGCTATGAATAAAATATTCCTCCTATGCCATCCTCACATTTCCTTATATACACAACCCCCCTCATAAACAATTATTGTTAAAGACCTTGAAAATTCCCTAAATTGAAGAAATTCATTTGGACCTGGCAGAAAGGTATTGCAAAAGAATCATCATAGGAATGCATTTGTTCTAACAAATACCCAGAAGAATCTACTTTGGAAGAAATGGAACTACTAGCCACTGCTAACAACTGAGTTTTCCCATAACCTTAATATACAAACCATGGGTAGAAAGACCTTCATCGATACCAAACCTTTGGATCATGTTACAGTTCAATAAAATACTGTTATTATTATCAACATTTTTGAGGGATGAGTCATTAGTCATACTTAACGATTTTTTATTGTGATTATTTCCTGTGAACTCTCCATCACTTTCTTAATGAATCGGATTTTAAGGATAAGAAATGATGAAAACAAAATTCGCTTTATTTGTTGTTGAACATGTTATGTTGAAATGAAAAAAAGAACCATGTGAATTCGACTATCACCAATATGAAGCTTGATGTTCACTATATTGTGGCATATACTTGAACCATTTCTGTAAGAATGCAACATAAAACCGATAATAATTTTGAAATGTATGTTCATTATATCCGCGTCAAATATGGTGGAGATTATTTCTTTTAGCCCCAATCACTGACATATTATGTATACCTGTATACGATATTTTCCCAATAACTTTGCTTGAAAGCTATTATTCAGAATCCAGAGTACTGCAGGAATTTTCAAAAAGTAGGGTTAATACATCAAATTTGACATATTTCTCACGGTGAGTTATCTAACGAATGTAATGTCTTTTGTTGATGACAATTATACTTAGCTTGAAAAAAGAATGGTCAAAGGAGTTGTTTTTGCTTCAACTTTCAACAAATCAACAACCTACCAGTTCTTTATCCAATAAAACATTTTCAAAGTAGCGCCTATTTTATTTGACGCCTTTAAAGTCAACCTCACAATCTAAAATGCCTCACCTTCGAAAATATGGCTTATTTGAATATGGCAGCCAGGAGGAATCAAAGAGTAAGTATTTTTCACGAATATACAAGGTTATCAACAACATATTATGTCAACTGTCTACCTGGTGTTGCCAACTTTTGCTGCGCCTTCGTTTCAACACTTTCCCGCGAATCCAACGGCAACTTCAAGTGAGCACTCTTGTTCGTACTTTTCTCTTGGGCGACAATCCTAACCGAATCGCCTTTTCCCTCGTCCATGGAGCTTTCCAGATTGTCCAGATGGTCCAGATTGTCCAGCACTTCCATGCACTCTTCCGAGTAGATGTCGCTGGCGCTGGTCGCGAAGTCGGTTTCTCTGGGCGGGGGCACGGATATTTTGACCAATTTCGGATGGTCGATGGAAGGGGAGAACATGTCTGCTGTAGGTGTTCTGTCGTCTGAAGGGATGCTGGCCACTGAAAGGAAATCAGACTGGAAATTTTATAGCAGTCATTTTCAACCAATCAGATGCTTTATTTCGACATTGTTACTATGGTCACCCCAGCCAATCATATAATTAGTCAATAATAATGACAATTCTTCATTTTCCTGGAACCCAGTAAGAAAATTATATGAAATCAGTTATGATTTTATTTCACTAGGGCACGGGAAAAATTTTGAAAAAATCTGCACCACCACTTAAATTTTTAGTTAAGTGACATTTTCCTGAAACCTAGCCAGAAGATTGTATGAAAACAATCAATATAAAAAAAATGAATATAAAAATGTATCTGATATTACATATTTCTTCTTACTAGGACTCGGGGAAAACCAAAGAAACTATCTTGCACTTCAATTTTTAGTCGATATTGACATTTCCCTTAAACCTAGTAAGAAAATTGTATGAAATCAATTGATTTCATGTAATAATTTATCTATTATATACTTTATTTTACTAGGGCACGGAGAAAATCGTATTCACTTTCATTTTCAAGTCAATATTGACAATTCCCTGAAACTTATTAAAAAAAGTATATGAAATCAAATAATTTTATAAAATAATATATCTGATATATTTTTTAATCTTAAGCTTACTGATTACAGACAGCCTTCAATTTATTTGTGGATGAATAAACACTTTTTTTACCGAATCCATCAAGTACTTGTATTAATTGCGGAAAATTTGTCTCCTACATGAATTTTCAAACAAAATTCATGTACTCCAAAAATTTCCGGCAATAATTATCATGTTTTATTGTGATTTATTGTGATATCCTGATTAACATTATTCATGTTCACTTCTACTGTGCTTGTGTAGTAGTTCTTAGATATTCATTACTTATTATTTTATAATTATGTTCTTCCTCATACCAGAACTTGTTCTGACTGGAAGATATGTTTGATAAATAAAATGCTCTAGGGAGATCAAAGTGAAAACATTCAAAAACGATCTTTGCTTAGGAGACAATTCTTAAAAGAGTGAAGCTACAACTTTCGGAGAAGAAACATTATTCAAAAATTTAGAAACCAGAACACTTTCAAGGGTTGAATAATCCCCTATGCTTCCACAGAGATTCCCATAGAAAACTTTAACAGAAAGGTGCTGGTACAGTATAGTATAGTTTATCCAAAAACAATTGCAGTCTCGAGCCGCACCTGCAGTCACTTCAAAGGGCACTTCAAACACGACGACTCTGCACAGTGCGGGATATTCTGCAATTGATATTGGGTACACTATAAATTTATATACCTACTCAAAACATTTCCGGCAATAAAATTATCATGCTCTAAGGTGTATAAGTGAAAACATTCAAAAACGACCTTTATTAAGAAGACAATTCTAATAGGAGTGATAGTGAAGCTACAACTTTTGAATGCGAAATATTCATGAATATAAAAACCTGAAAACTTTTAGGGGTTGAATAATCCCCAAAGCTTTCACAGAGATCCCCCTATATAACACTCTTACAGAATAGAACTCACTAATGTATTCAAAATCAAGACTAAAATAATATACATAACTTTGAAAGGCTTGCTTGAATTTCTAAGGAATTTGGACCAAGGTATAGCTAATTGAATTGACTCCATAGTAGGACATCACCATCGATCCACCTTGTCATTTGAGATTTCTACAGGAAGGTATGTGAATATAATCAATATATGTCCCGTTGAAGTTCTCGAAACAAGTTTAATAATTTTCGAATATGTTCTCAAGTTCTTGGAGTTGAAGGATATTGCTCCTTTCGAAATTGTCACCCTGTACATACAGTACCGGAGCAATGAAAATGCATACATATAATGAGCACAGTATGAAAAAAAAAACAAATTGATTTGATTTGACCAGGTCTTGTTTATGAAAAAATGTGTGGGATACTTTGACCAGAGTGGTACCAGAGATGATGAGATTCATATTAAAAAATAGTATATTATTCACCAAGGTGGGAAGAGATTCATTTCTGTCATGAGGGCGGGTAGTAGGGGTGTGAAATGTGACACTTCCCAACCTTCAATGACGTTAGTAAAGACAACACTACATATATGGTTGTAAATAAATATATTTTACCACTTATGGGTGTACTGGCGAAATCTGAGCCAGACAAACTGTTTGTCATTTGTTGCAGGTGCTGGGTTACTTCATGTATGCTATTTTTCATGGCGTTATCGCTCAGAGATATATCGTCATCTTCCACATCTTCCAAGGGGGCAATGTCATCACCGTTATTATTAACAGACATTAGGGACGCCATGGACTGCATATCTTCATCACTGCAGAATAATAGTTATTTGTATACCAAGGTAGTAAAGAATATCATTATCACCCAGGGACCAAGATTATATCCCGAGGCTTCAGCCGAGGGTTATAGGTCCCGTGGTAATATTCTTTACTACCAAGGTGTATATTAAATACATTTCCATCATTTTAGTTCTGTAGTTCTGTGAAACTGAAATATGAACCTTTTGTCACTATGAAAGTACTTCTTTTCAATCATTCTCATTAAAATCGAGTAGCCATGACCATGACAGCACATGACAAATCGTTTTTGATAAATACCTACTAGATTCTGGTGTCATTCCTGCGAATGTCGCAGAGGAACTATGAATTTGGGTTAATCATATCAGAGGTTGCTATGTCTTTATTGACTAGTGGTTCATAAAATGACGAAAACTACCTTGGTAGTAAAAACAGACTTTACGCCTCGAAATGGAGTAAATAATTGTAGGTTTTATAGCTAGTGGTGGAAAAAACAATATATAAGGCTAACAAGAGGACGTTAAAAGAAAATACGTGCGTGCGTCGGACAACAAGTCAAAAGTGATACCTTCTATGAACGGCCAGTATTTCCGATATATTTTGGACAATACGGGGGAAATCTGGATGAAGTAACGTGATATTTCCACCTATTCGCGAAAAGAATAAACTAGAACTCAATAACAATAATTAGCAAAATACTATATATTATACCGACCGACATCGACTCTCTGAGCTAGTGAAAGGGGAACCACAGACAGAACCCGACGACGTGACGATAACGTGATAGGTAGCATGTAGCCAACATACAAAAAAGTAAATGAAAACTGCTGTGAATTGAGCTCTTTTCTACATTAAACGAGAGACAGGAAAGTTCTCTCTTCTTCCATCTTTCTCTTTAATACTACCAACATGGCCGCATGGAAATATAGAGAGGTCCGATAAATCTTTCCTTGTCTAACATCAATTTTGTGCCACTGCACTATTTTTGAATTCAGCAGAGTGTTGAAATTAACGATATTAACAAATGATATCAAAATAGGTAAGATATAATTTGAAATTGTATTTCAAGATTTCCAAAGGTTATCAGTAAATAACATTTATGACATATCAAATCATGTAACATTGAAAACTAGTTCAGTGGCGCAGACTAGACGTTAAACAAGGAAAGAGTTATAAGATCTCTCTGTATTTTAATGCGACCACGTTGGCAGCACTGAAGAGGAAGATGGAAAAGAAGACAAGTTTCCTCTCTCTCTCTCTCGTTTATAATAGAAAAGGGCTCAATTGTGGATGGTTCAATAATCTGATGCTCGCTACACCATTTCTACAACCGCTTGTGTGAAATTTTGTCATTTGTTAAATCCTGTTTTTGGTGCAACGAAATAAAACAGTAGGTTTCATGCCTGAAACAGGAGAACAGTGTAACGAAACAGTAGATCTACTGTCAAACCGGTTGGTCTGGCAACACTGCTGAAGGTGCAGATGCAGCCGACACAAACATCGGGGGTAGTCGGGTATCCCGATCTTGTAGTACAGCCAATATCTAAGTTATGCTGCTTGGAATTTTTCTTAATACACTTTTGTTAAACCGAAATGACTTTGAAGCAATTATATCAAAGTCAACTCCTCTCAAACTACCCCAGAAAACCACCACCAACTTCATTTTTTCAAATTATTACACATACATTTTTCTGTCGATTCGTGAAGTGCAATCAATTCTTACTTCAACGAAGTATCACACTTGTTAATTTGACAGATGTCCAATTGAAATAATACTCATTTGGAGGTCTTAGTTGGATGTGGGGTACCTTGATGCAAATTTGACGTATTTGTCAGATGTCATTCATCCTCGATGACCTACACCTGATACTGTTCCATCGAATTTTGTAATTTTGAGAGACTGACGTTTGTCAAAATATCAAGTCTGACACATCGTTGAAGTAAGAATTTGATTGACTTCATTAATCAACAAAAATATGTATAGGGTTTAACTAGAAAAAATGAAGTAAGAAATGGTTTTTCAGGAGTAGTTTGACAGAAGTTGATTTCGACTCAATGGTTTCACAGTCATTTGGGTTTGACTAGTGTATTTTTTTTCCAAGCCAATATCTCAGATTGGCGGTATAAAAAGATCTGTAACACCCTGTATTCAAGGTAACGCGCGTGATGCGAATCCGGCCGTTTTACTGCCATCCTAGAAAGTGTCTAACGGGCCTATAGAAGTTATCACTTCAAAAAGTACCAGTTAATACATGACAGTAATTTTTATCAATACTTCTGGTCGTTGGCATTTTGTAAAGATGTCATTTTAGTTTGTTCTATAGCCGAAAGGGACACAATTTTAAAATTCATTGCAATAAATCTAAACTTACGTAGCTTTTCCTTCCCTAAGGAACACACATGAAAGGGTACAGTCCAATTTGGCACCTGTTATTTTTTTGGTAGTCGGTTTGAAATTTATTTGTAATTCCGTTTGAGAAGACTCCACGCTAGCATATTTTCGCATATTAACGTGAGCGATGGCAAGTTGTCTTCTTTTTCCACTAGTAGGTACCTAGGAAACAAAAATGAACAATTGTTTTCGTTTTATTCCATGCATAGCTAATGAACTCGCATAACATTTTTAGACTATAATAATTTGAGGTGACAAAGGAAAACAGCATTATCACAATACCAATGAAATGTTTGTAATTAACTGTATCAATGTCATCCTATTAATGATGGAACCAGATATTTTTACCACCTTTTCGATAATATAGTGCTAATGAATATTGCTGCATTCGTTAAACATATTATAGGTAGGTGATGGAACCTTGAAAAGTAATGGAATATGGTGTATCATTTATCAAAGTTGTAATTGATATATTGATGAATTTGAAACTGTAGAGTAGGAGAAAATTTAGTGTTTGCTTGTCTCAGACTTAAACTTGACGAGTAAGGAAGTACAATTTGCAGTAGATAATCACTGTAGTCCTCATACTTTCAATGTAGTATCTATAGATCATCACAGACAAGGTGACAACACTAATAAAAGTATAATTTCACGAAATATTTATCAACAAATTCAAGCATGATCCTTGAAATACCACAGCTTTTTATTTAAAGAGGAACAATTTGAGAATTCAGTGAAAATTTTGCCAAAACCGAGTGCAAAACATACTTTGGTCAAACTAAGAAACCCATCATAACTAGATTCAAGGAGCATCGATCGAATTCAAAGTACGCCACATGAACAGTTACTAATGCTAGAAAATTAGAAGCAAATTAATGCCTAGAAAGGATATGTAATATCAATAGATGTGATTTAGTGATTTGAACATAGATAAATAGAAAAATAGGCTTTGTTCGTTGAATGTATAGCGAGGGGTAAATCACGGGCCAGTTTCGAGTACACTAAACTTCCTTTGTTAAAAGAATTCCCGGAATTCCTGGGACTACCCCAAGAATTCCGGACTACCTAAAGAATACCCGGAATTCCTAAAGATTATCTGGACTACCTAAGGAATTCCCGACTTCCAAAATAATTTCCAGACTTCCCAAATATTTACCAGACTTCCCAAAGAATTCCCGAACATCCCAAGGAATACCTAAACTTTTATATTGCCATTTTCATTTTACACTCCTATGTTCGATATACAGGAACGAACGACAAAGTTTGACGCTGTTTCTCATCATTAACTCCAGTACCTAATCATTCAATGATAAATATCTCATGATATATTGATTTCAAATTCAAATGATATTACACAAATTAGTTTATTGTGCCCTTTAGTGCAAATGAATTCAGAAGTTCGGATGAATTCTTTCTACTTATTTTTTCCACTTGCTTCACTTTGATTGGGTAGATCCGAGGACAAAACTGATACACTGAAAAAACGTGTATTGTGAGAAGTGATGAAGGCGCATTAATGGAAATGACATAAAATATCTCAAATACAATCGGGATTCCCTTTCGTGCGCTCCAGAAGATTAAAAAAATGTTAAATCGATTTTATTTTAGTAGATATAGAGTGCATGTGATAGTGAATAAGTTGTAATAAATTCAACACCGTGAGTAGTTTGCCATTTTGGAATTCGATAAAACACAAGCATGGAAGAATCAGTATAAAGATTTCCTAAAAAATACCCAGACTGAATGAATTCCTGGACACGTGATTTACCCCTTGATGTATATTTAGTGGTCTTTGAGGACCAGAAACCATCTAGTATTATGTATAAGCACAATTTCAGAACAAGATCATTAGTTTCACTGTTTTCAATCACTATATCTGTAGGTTAATTGAAACTTATAGACAAAAGGGTGTTTTTCGAATATTATCTCCAATATCATTTCGAATTTTTTCCATTCAAAATAAGTTGATGGATTTTGTCTGGGATTTTGTTGGATGCATTTACATAAAAAAGTGAGCTATGAGAAGGATGCTTGAATTTGGGGAAACATTTACTAAGTAGTACAATTAAAAATAATGAAGGCAAAATTTCTGAATTGAATAAAAATCAGGAGTATTCAAACCGATTCAAACAGAACCGTGGAATTTATTGTTTTCACATTTGCTATAAATCTCCATGGAATAAGTTAATACAAAATATTGAAAATATGATCATGGATGAGATCATCAATAAAAAGGTCAAGACTCACATCTTCGATGATAAAAGACCAATCTTTGTCCTCCAATTCATTGGTTCTTGGATCCTTGAAGAGGGTAACAGCCACTTGATGGTTATCAGGTACTGGCCACACAACTAGACCCTTGTATGGATTTTGTAAGGTACGTTCCCAGGTCATCGGGACCGAGGTCACTCTTCTTGATCTCCTTGACCATACCAGCAGCAATTTGTGGGGTTCCCTAAAAACGCATTTATACAGGGTGGTCCAATTGCCTGTTCATTTTCAATGTTAATGGCCTGTATTTGAACATGGTTGATAAGAACCTACTTGAAATATGAATTTATCAAAAGTAGAGCTATAACACTGGACCACCCTGATCGACCCTGATGTTTACTGGAGATGCTCTCATCTCACTATTGGAATAAATTGATCCACCAAGAATGTTGATGATCCATGCAAAAAACTTGTTTTGAAATTGCAGATAAGAAAATCGGAGAAAATATTGAAGATAATTGGTAATATATACAGGGTGGGCCACCAGTAACGCCTCGGTCTCTAGAAGGCTAACCACTTATCTTCTTGGAATTCTTCCTCTCTAGGAAGTTGCATGTCAACATAGGCTACCATTTAAAATTATTTCGAAACATACAGGGTGTCCCCAAAAACCATAAAACACTGAAGTTAAACTTTTTTCTATCGAACACCCTATATATTATTTCATTTTGAGATTCTCCCTGGTGAGCTGATTTCAACGACCCATCATACTTGGGGTCTAGCAGTTATAATTACTGAAATATAGGGTGTGAAAAATCCGGAAAAATCGTCATTTTTCAACTTTAGGAATTTTTTTTGTCGAAACTATTCATTATTGGTCAAAACGGCTTACATGTCCCTATCTCAACTTTTGATTAACTATCTACTGAATTTAATTGGGACATATACCGGGTGATCAAGATTCTGAATTCTGCACCACCCTGTATTTGTTTCAATTAAATGTCAGTAGATAGTTGATCAAAAGTTGAGATAGGGACATGTGAGCCGTTTTGACCAATTATGAATGGTTTAGACACAAAAAATTCTTGAACTTGGAAAATCTCGATTTCTCACACCCTATATCTCAGTAATTATAACTGCTAGACCCCAAGTATGATGGATTGTTGAAATCAGCTCACCAGGGACAATCTCAAAATGAAATAATATATAGGGTGTTCGATAGAAAAAAGTTTAACTTCAGTGTTTTATGGTTTTTGGGGACACCCTGTATGTTTCGAAATAATTTTAAATGGTAGCCTATGTTGACATGCAACTTCCTAGAGAGGAAGAATTCCAAGAAGATAAGTGGTTAGCCTTCTAGAGACCGAGGCGTTACTGGTGGCCCACCCTGTATATAATTAATCAATAACTATTATCCATATTTTTAGTATACTAGGTGCTAACAGGCTTCTTCTTAGGGCTTTATTGTCCTATACATTTGCTGATTAGTTACTTGATTATTTTACCTACTACCCATCATTAGTAATTGTTTCATAATTATTTGAATAATAGTTTGATTATGACAGAAATTATGAGACACTAATATCTCATTCTATACCTCTTTCTGATAGCTATACAGAGTGTTCCACGGTGGATGGCCTATTAGAAGTATCTGGAGAACAAAAAGACAGTACATTCTGAAAATTGGGATGCTTTGATAATTCAACATTTTCTATCCGTCTAAAATATTTTCATCGATACAGTGTTGCCACTTCTATCATAAACAACTAGCAACTTCGTTATTTTAAATGGAACACCCTGTATTTTATTGCATTTTTAGATTCTTCCTGAAGAGCTGATTTCATCAATGCATTACAAATTGGGGTCTAGCAGGAATGATTACAAAGATATAGGGTGTTCAAAATCGAGATTTTTCAATTTTAGGATTTTTTGTGTTGAAACTATTCATTATTGATCAAAACTGCTTACATGTTCCTATCTTAACTTCCGATTCACTATTTTCTGACATATGATTGGAACAGATACAGGGTGATCAGAATTCTGAATCTTGAAGCACCCTGTATTTTTTTTTCAATTAAATTCCAGTAGATTGTGGATCAAAAGTTAAGATTGTGACATGTAAGCCGTTTTGATCGATAATTAATAGTTTCCACACAAAAAATCCTAAAATTGAAAAATCTCGATTTTGAACACCCCATATCTCTGTAATTATTCCTGCTAGACCCCAAGTGTGATACATTGATGAAATCAGCTCTTCAGGAAGGATCTAAAAATGCAATAAAATACAGGATTTTCCATTTGAAATAACAAATTTGCTAGTTGTTTCTGATAGAAGTGGCAACACTGTATCGATGAAAATATTTCAGAGGGATAGAGAATGTTCAATTATCAAAGCGAGTATCAAAGCATCCCAATTTTCAGAATGTTTTGTCTTTTAGTTCTCCAGATACTTCTGATAGGCCATCTACCGTGGATCACCTGTATGGGAGCACTATGTTGGGTAGTATTTATTGAAATCATCTCAAAAATTGATATCCATTTACGCCATTTTACAATTTTTGAATATTCATTCTATTTGTTTGGTCTAATCATCCTATTTTTTCAACTAATCTCACAATTATTTTTGACTCATCAGCCAATTTGTTTAGTCCTTTTATACTATTTTTCAAGTTTCTTGTTCTCTCATGAATAATTAGTTTCATATCTGGAAAGTAGTGGGACATGGATAAGATCTCAAAAAAGATACAAATAGATGCCAACCTTTATCAAACACCCTATCTAGCTAGCTTTTTGGTGACATACTTGATATTCTGACCAGGTATACATACAATCATACCATATAATTTTAAAAACCCATTGTCTCTTTCCTCCAACTTCCTCAAAATATACAAAATTCCCCATGCATTTCTTTTCATTTCCTGTATAGATATAACCATGTGTTGAACTGAGAACTTTACTGGTGTCACATCCTGAATTTATAATTAAAACTTTGTTTTCATTCCTATTATCTCTTTGATATGTGAGAACATAATATGAAACCAATTAGAATTTATTTTCAGAACAAAATGAAGATATACCGGGTGTCCCAAGTTATTGTATACAGGCAATATCTCGCTTATTTGACAAGATAGTTGAAAAATTCAAAAACTCCATTGAATGGCATTGAAGTACCTTCCTAATGACATATAAAATCCATTATATTTGACAGTTCTCTGGCAGCTACCCCCAACATTTCATTTTCAAATGGCATCCCCTGTATATTGTCATTGGAAATTACATGTCACTCAATTTGGAATACAATGATAGCACATATTTGGTATTTTTCATTGATTAAAAAAATATCAAGGTTTTGTGACTTGTTTCAAGTTACTCAATTACCTGTATTAAAATGAAATATTGCCTCTGCTCATGTTTTTTTTCCAAGAAGAAGATGCTCCTCATGTCATAATGATTTTGAACACTTGCTGTGATTTTTAGTTCATTTTTTTATTCACATACAAGCTATTTTACTTGAAATTCATAATTCATTGACTGCTGCTGTTTTTGTTATAATAATAAAGAAATACCAAGTATATGCTATCATCATATTCCTTATAGGATGGCATGCAATTTTCAATGACAATATACAGGGGGTGCCATTTGAAAATAAAAAGTGGGGAATAGCTGCCAGAGAACTGTCAAATGTAATAGATTTGTTTACATGTCATGAAGAAGTTACTTCAATGCCATTCAATGCAGTTTCTGAATAATGGAGAAAACTGGGTAGAATAAAATTTGTAAAATTACTTCTGATTTTGATTTGTAAAAATTATTAGCAGTATTAGAAAAGTTATTGGGATATATCTGGTTCAGTAACTTGGAAAGTTGACCAGGTCATATTTCAAACATAATAAAACAAAAATTTTGAAAATATATCTCGATATTTAATAATAATCTTGATAACAATATAAGACTTTATTCCAGTTGTTATTAAAAAAACTGCATTTCCATGGCATTCAATATTGTATTGGTTTTACAAATAATTCAATAATATGCAATCCTATGAAATCAAGTATGTAATAGATGGGGTTTTATCTAGGGTTTTATATTCCAAAAAAATTAGTACTTAACAAGGAAAATCAAACTACCAACATTATTTTTCTCACTTTCCTATAAGAAAAAAGAATTGGTGAGTAGAGTGGTATAAATACTTGACATGCACCATCTTCTTGAAATTAGTTGATAACTCAATTTCAAATGAAACTAGTAGACCAAATATTTTTGGTTGAAATGAATCAACATTTCTACTGAGTCCTCAGAGAATTGAGTATGGGAAGAGATACCTACTTGAATATACTAAAAGTGAAGGCATGATACATGGTGTACTATAAATATTTGATGCCATTCTCAATTTTCATGGAATGTGCAAAGAAATTTACCAATAGTTTGAGAATGACAATGATAGTGAATATTTGATTTGAAATTATCTAACACCTTTTCAAACTGAATTTGTAAACAGAATAATATGAAAATAACACTACACTGTAATAATTTCCTCAGAAAACAATCAAATTGCCTAGACAAAATATGCAATGTTTACTGTTTACATCTAGGTCTACTTAATGTTCCCATAATAATAATAATAATATTTTCATTATTTCATGACATAAAAATATAAACTAATATAAATTATACACCTAGGGACTAAAGTGGTATTTTAAATCCCCAGACAAGAAGTTTATAGTCAGACCAAGGGGAAGGCAATAATTTGATGAGGGGTTCAACAACACTTTAGTCCTGAAGTGTATATACTATTTTATGCACTTTAGGATAGGTTAAATGTTAAAAATAAAGAAAAAAATTGAATGCCTCTATACACAGTAGCGCACAGTAGGTACTTATTTTGAAAACATCATCTCAGGGGCTGATTGTTACCATATCAATGACCTCAGTAACTATGGTGATCTAGATTTGGGTAAAAAGTGGTACTTTGAATTCATAGGGATTTTTTCATTTTTTCCATGAAAATTTTTATTCATAGTACCCTTAAAATCCCTGAAGTGCATAAAACCACATAAAATAAATAATTGATTCCTTCAGTTACCATGAAATAAAGGGCAAAGTTCATTGTCTGCAATGCTATGCATCACAGAATATGTTCTTCCACTCAACCCTAGGTTTACACTGGGGTATACATTTATCATGTCAGTCAGAATAGGTCAGAATCAAGTTCTGAATGATCTATAGGTAAATAAAGCAATATATCTATCACTAAGTTATCACTAAGTGGATAACCTTGGAATTATTGGGAAATTGATAGATAAGGTACTCACCATCTTGAGGTGAAATCCACAGACAACTGATGATAAGAAACTGTAAACTGGAATTTGGCAGCTCTCTTGTTCACCCTCTGGAGTCTTTTCCAGACTGACCCCATACTTGAAGTATCCACTCCAACACAGGACTGCATGATTATATTATTTATCAAAGCTAAATTTACCAGAAGAACAACAGATCTACACTAATACACATGCAAGTGAGCAATGTTCATATCTTCTAAAACATGCAGATAGTTCAAAAGAAACAGGATGGGATTATCAGTCTTATCACAAACTGTGGGCAACATGACGTGGGTACTTCTAGAGTTCGAGCACAACACAAACTGAGGGTGAAAATGTCAGTCCAACTTCTTGCATGAAAGTGGTAGGTAGCAATGTTTAGTTTGAGCGAGCAAAAAAGCTTTGTTCAACTAATGTCATCAATTTAAATTCTTCAAATACAGCATCAACCCTCCATGAATCATTGACAAAATGGTCAGCTCAAGGCGAAGGCAATTCAACATCAATTTCCTGCATTTTGCACTGTTCCTCATGCAGCCACATACCTTTCCACTCTCACAACACTCAATTACGCATTTCGTCGATGATAATGTGCAAATTTCAATAGACTTTGGTTTTATTTATAGCTTGTGACCCAAACAAACTAATAATTTGCTAATAGTAATTGCTAAAAGCTAAAAGTGCTAAGCTAAATGTCAATATCAAAATAAAATAATCATGAGAAACAGAAACATCAATATTGTCAACATTCTAATGACATTAATGACAAATGAAAGTGACAGTCAGACAGTGACGATGTCAGTTGCGTCAGTTGTCGTCTTTCAGTGGTACCAATCGATTCATCTAAGGATGTAATAGATTGCGAGGTTGGGAACTACGAGGACCTATAGTTTTCGAACCATTCCCAAACCTCATCGTCACATTCGTCCAATGAACTCAATATAAACAACTGGAAGGGACCCTCTGTGAACGACGAGTGAGGCAAACATTTTTTTTTCAGGCAACCCGCAGTGTTGATACCTATCTCCCTCTATCTTATGTTCGCTAATGGGAAGCGCTCGCATTATTTGAAATATTTTCTCGTTTTTTGCTTTTATTTAAGAGTAAACGTGATAAAATAAAAATATTCATATAGAAAAAATGATAATGTTTCAATCAATTATCATTAAAAAATTATTATTGATTTTTTTATTGACTTAAAAATGAAATTTCAGTTTTATTCTTACAGGATAAGGAAGTTAAATGATTACAAAATTGAAATTATATATTGTCATCAAATGTCACAATACATTGTACAGGGTGATACTGGTGATAGTGAAGCACAATGTCTTAGCACTCGTTCTTGCATCCAAAGGCGACACAATAAATCACCAGTGTTTATCAAAACCGAGATCAAAACCTTCTCAACAATCAGTTCACAGTGTTCACACCGTGGTTCACACCAACAAATTCAGTCCTTTTTATGAAACAAAACACGCCACATGAATAGATATTTCACATAAACAATGACAATATACTTATGTCTTCACTTTCCTGCCTATTAAGATGAGAGAAAAAAATCTAGAGTACTTTAATTATTAGATAAAAGAAAACGTAACTTCATTAAAATTCAAATTTGATATTTCCAATTCCTTCCTGACAAAATGAATAAAACAACAAATTTAGATTTTAAATAATGAAACTAAATTCAGAAAGTCTTAAGGTTTGTATACATTTACAGTTGATTCTGAATTAGGTAAATTAAAAATGCACTTTGATTATTGTTTTATTTTGTGATTTCATGAGTGGCTTCAAACGTGAAATATTTGTACTTCCCCAATTAGATATAAGATATCGTAAATTTGAATAAAAAACAGAAATAAATACTGTTTAGGTATCTAACAGGAATGACATTTCGAATTTTATATATAATACCAGCAGAAGGATTCAATTTTTTCCTCAAATATGATGTTACATTTGTATATTCAATGGATTTGTTATTGCTGATGAGTATTCCACATTTTGAATAACCTTTTCGAATTTTTAGAAATCACAATGGCCCGAAAATTTAGGAAAAAATTGAAATAGTTGAAATTTGTTAAGTGGATATAAAATTTTGTGAAACAACCCACTTTCTTTGTTATTTTTTCATACAAACTTCGAGATTGACGAAATTTCGAATCATTTTCAGAGACAAAACAATTCATGAACATCAAATTTGCCTGAATAAACATAATCTCATGATACGGACTTCAACGATGACACTGTATATTAAATTTATTTCTAAACCACACCTCGTATACATCATTTTTGATGTGATTAGTGAGAAATACAATTCCTGTTCGAGAATTATTCGGTTAGAATGATGACGTAACTGATGAATCACTATGGAGGTTAATCATGCATCCGATCCGATACCGGTCACCGGTGGCGACGCAGTATTGTGTTAGATTTCATTGCGTGTAGTCGATCTGATTGATTTGAAAAATAACTTATATTGTTCACACGTGGGAGGGAATCAAAATGTATGGTGTCATCGAGTGATTATAGTGAAACGTGTGTGTTTGTGTGTGTGTGAGTGAGTTCTGGTGGAATTTTCCAGCAATAAATAGACTGGGATGTTTTGTATTGTTGTTTTGTTCTTATTTTTAGATATGGTGAGTGATTTTTTTCATTATTTTCTTTCTATTCAAAATTATTTTCCATTTTGTGAAGACTGCAGTAGGACAAATTATTTGCAAAAGGTCTTCGATCACATCTCAATAGTCTGGGGGGGGGGGCACTGCACTTGCTTTTCAAATCAATACATAATTCGCAATCGAATTTCCTATATTGATTGAGAATATTGTATACTGGGTGTCCCATTTGAAGACATTGAACTTTTTCACGTAACTCGTGTACGCTATGTTAGATATTCCTGTTTAATTTTTGCCAAAATACTACTCCTTTGTCCATTTACCTGCCTTGATAGCTCCAATAATAATCAAGTTCGCAATAGTGCCGACTTATATTTTGAAAACCCTGTATAAAGAGCTTATAAAATTTCGTATAAAACGGTTATCCATGAAATTGAATAAAGTAAAATCCGATTTCTACTATCAGTACTACCGAAATTTTCCAAATTAATTCTGATTTCAATTTACCATTTTTTTAAATAACAATCTAATATTCATGGTGAACTAACTTCGTGTGATGACTTCATGAGTAACTTTTTTTTATTTGAAATCCCTTTTTTCTTAGATTTCCGGATTTTTCTGCTGAGCTGATTACAAAAAAGTATCAAAAGTTACTTGAAATTTGTACAGGTACAGGTGAACAAAAATACGATAGTTTATGAAAATTCAAACCGAAGATTGACATGTATCAGGAATTTTCAATAGTTATTTTCCTTCAAAATTTATTTTGTTCCAAAGATTGATCTTCTGACTGTGATTTTCTGACAGATAATGTCTAATTATTAATGATCTAATTTGACAGTTGTTATTGATTTGCAAAAATCATCAACTTCATTTTGCACTATTTCCAAAGTAAGAATAACAGTTCATGAAATCCTAATTTGCACAAACTAAATAGAAAACAAATTCTAAATGATGCGGACTTCAATGGTTACAATGTATATTGGAGTTCTTTTCACCCCACACTGTATATCTCATGACGTAACTAATTAGTCATTAGAATCAAACCAATCAGCCATCAGTCTCGTATTAGATTTCAACGCGTACGGTTTATTCGAGTGATAAAAAACAGGACTCCATTTATTAAAAGTGAAAAACTTAAAATTATCTCCGGTGTAGTGATTTTAATTCCATTTGAGTGCATGAAAGTTGTCTCTTTTCAACATGGTAAGTGTGTTGATTGATTGTCTTTATTACCCCAAGAAACATTATTGTTAATAATAGGGATATATATACAACAAAACATACATATAACATAATAAATTGAGACAATAACAACAATGGCACAATTATTGTTTTTCATAAAAAAAACTACAAGTACATTACAAGTAATCAAATTGTGAATGATTAGTAGATATGGAATTAAAGTTTACTGATCAGATATTTCTTCAATTTGATTTTACAATTTTCTGCTTCTATATTTCTCAACTCATTAGGTAAGGCGAGTTATATAAAATTATTCCATTTTTTACCAAAATTTGACTTATTTGCTATCAATTAATTAAATTGCCTTGTATCATGCTGGGCGTGAATCGTATTAACTTCATTTACATTCAAATTTGATATTTTCAATTCCATCCTGAAACAAAATGAATGAAACAAATAATTTAGTGTTTATATAATGAAACTAGATTCAGCAAGTCTTTAGGTTTGTATAGTTCCACAGTTGATTCTAAAAAAAGTTGATGAAAAATGCACTTCTTTGTTTTATTTTGTAATCTCATGAGTGACTTCAAACGTGAAATATTTGTACTTTCCCAAATAGATATTAGATATTGTGAATTTGAATAAAAAAGACAGAAATAAATACTGTTTAGGTATCTAACAGGAATGACATTTCGAATTTTATATATATCAGCAATAGGATTAAATTTTTTCCTCAAATGATCTATATGTAGAGTCAACGATAATTGTTCATCAATATAAAGACCTAAAAATGTTGTTACATTTGTATATTCAATGGATTTGTCCACATTTTTAATGACCTTTTCGAATTTTTTGAAATCATAGTAGCCCGAAAATTGAGGAAAAAAATTGAAATTGTTGAAATTCGTTAAGTGCTCGGTTAAGTGTATATGAAATTTTGTGAAACAATCCACTTTATTTGTTATTTTTACATACAAACTTCGAGTTTGACGGAATTTCGAATCATTTTCAGAGACAAAACAATTCATGAACATCAAATTTGCGTGAATGAACATATTCTCATGATGCGGACTTTAACGATGACACTGATGTATATTGAATTCATTTCTAAACCACACCTCGTATACATAATTTTTGATGTGATTAGTGAGAAATACATTTCCTGTTCGACAATTATTCGGTTAGAATGATGACGTAACTGATGAATCACTATGGATAGGTTAATCATGCATCCGATACCGGTGGCAACGCAGTATTGTATTAGATTTCATAGCGTACAGTCGATCTAATTGATTTGAAAAAATAACATATTTTATTTACACGTGGGAATCAAAATGTATGGTGTCATTGAGTGATTATAGTGCAATATTTGTGTGTGTGAGTGAGTGAGTTCTGGTGGAATTTTCCAACAATAAAAAGACTGGGATGTATTGTTGTGTTTGTTGCCATTTTCAGAGATGGTGAGTGATTTTTTCATTATTTACTTTTTATTCATATACGGAATGATTAAATAGAGATCGATAAAACAAGTTGCAGAATTATTCGCAATTTTGTGAAGAGTGAAGGACAAAGTCTTTTGAAATTTCATATTTATTAACGTACGTGTGCCATGTAAAAGGTCTTAGATCGCATATCAATCGTCTGGAGGGCACTATAGTTCACGAAAATGTGTTATTCATAATCAGTTTTTGCTTTAAAAACAATACAAAATAATTTTGAAAATTATAGGTTATTACTATATTTCGAAAAATATTGAATAAAAAAGTTGTTCTCCGTGAGTGTTTGAAGAAATTCTTGCAGCTGATGAGTATTCCACATTTTGAATGACCTTTTCGAATTTTTAGAAATCAAAATGGCCGAAAAATTGAAGAAAGATATTGAA